ATTTTTTCTTTTCATTCCTAATAATTTTATTCTTTCATATTAAACAATATAATTTAAATTCTTACTTTACACACCGCTCATACAAAAAGTAATAAAGTAATTTCTCAGGTCATAAAGTTGAGTTTGGTAAAGATGAAGTATTTACAATACGTTATAATAAAATTATTTAAGGTTGTGTTTGGAAACCCGGAAAATGATTTCTGGAAGTCATTTTTCGGGTTTTTGGTGTTTGACTACACCTGAAAAATGAACCAAACACACCAAAACAATTTTTCAAATGCAACAAAACACTGAAAAAGGAAAATGTTTTCCAAAAAATAATTCATTTTCCAAAAATTATTTTCTAGAAGTCATTTTCCTACTTTTTAAACGGACTCTAAAATGTAGACGCTAAAAAGTAAAAATAGGAGTAATTATTAATTAAGCGAGTTTTTTTTTTTTTTTTTTTTTTTTTACAATCTACTACAGTTGTTGCGTAGAGTGTTGTACCTTGTACGCGGCGCGCACACATTTTCATGCAGTGGTTACTCCGTATCTGATGTGTCCTCGCGTGGGGTCCACTGTATTAGGCCACGCGTCAGATTTCCTAATTTTCTCCATTTTTAACGTTTCTTAGGTATTTCTCTATAATTTTAATTCAAACAGCCCCTGCATGCGTATATCGTGTCCGGCTCTCTGATCGGCACTGATTATGGTGTATTTTATAATAAATTTATTTAGAAAAATTACAAATTTACAATAGCATTTAAATTAAATGCTAAAATTACATTTGCCATATATCTTGAGGGTTAAAAATGTAATTTTTTTTCTCTAAAATTATGATTTATTTTAAAGCTTACAGATCCAATTATTCTGTAGAATCTGTACAATGCAATTCAGAACATTACCATCTTAGAAATGAAAATAAGAACAAAAAAAAAATACATAAAATCGATATTAATGAGTAGTTCAAACTTCAAAGGTGGAAAGTTGCTAATATTCTATATTTTTGAGGTGTAAAATGTAATTAACCCATTAAGCAAATCTCCTTGACCGACGTAATCAATTTATTAAACCATAACCCCGTGCGTCTCTCCCATTCTGTTGTGCCTCCATTGACGACCAAAACCAATTATATTATTATTATTATTATTATTATTATTATTATTATTATTATTATTATTATTATGGGAAGAATTATTATTGTTACATCCGTATTATTTAAAATAAATACACGTCTGGTCCCCAATTATTCAGAATATTTAATTTTTATTTTATACTTCTAAATTAATTAATTTAATCTATATGTTTTTAAAATTTTAAAATCAAAGATAATGACTAATTCTATCTGCTGTTATAAGTCTATTTACACGTCACTAATGTAGTCGGATCGGCTGATTTGAGTCATTGACTGTCCCTTTTTCCTCTTTTTTTTTTTTTTTTCAAATTAAGAAATAATAATAATAATAATAATAATAATAATAATAATAATAATAATAATAAATTAATAAATAAGGAGATGCCATTTTCGCCTCCTATCCTCTTTGAATTCACATAATTCCTATGAGCACATAACTTGTATCAGACATTTAGCTAAATTAATTATAATAAAAATACACTTTTCATCTCTCTTACTCTCTATTATTCTCAATTTATAAATTAAATTTATCATTTAAAAATGTTATACTTATAATCCTTTAATTATTAAACGAACAGCAAATTCATCATATCAATAATTTTATATGTCAAGCTCAATTTGTATCTAGAATTATTACGAAAAAATAGATAATAAATTGGAAGTTACGCATATGCGCTCATAAAGCTTAAAATATAAATGGAACTCGAAATTTTAATTTGTCAAGAATTTAAATTTAAAGTTTTTTTTTTAATAATTAAAGGACCATATTTATTTAAAAAAAATCAATAGAAATAAATTATATTTATAATTAAAAGATTAAAATTGTGAATTTTCTCTAATTAGAAGCACATCACCCATTAAGCAAAAATTTCTAATTTTGAAATTAATTAGCTTTTTTCATCATCAAAACTAATTAAAATGATAAATCCAATAATATATATCTCTGTCATCATTTCGCATTTCAAAGATCTATCTGAACATAAATAAATAAATAAATACTAGTGATATTAATGTGATAGTGAAATATATGAATGGGTTTTATATATATTTATTATAAATAAAATAAATAAAGGTTGTAATCAATAAAATATATTGCCAAAATTTATTATGATAGTTAAATGTCATATTTTTAGTAGTACAGTTGATAAAATAAATGCTACACAGACTAATGTGCATGAATGTTTTTTTTTTTTTTTTTTTTTTTTAATAGCAAAGCAAGTAATTACGTACCTAAGTGTTATATTTATTATTATATTGATAATTCAGGCGTCAATATCAATTGGTATCCAATACGATTTGATTCTTGTCATGAATATTGGAGATTTGTGTTTAAATTAATTATTTTATGTATAGAAGTGTACAATTTGTTATTGAGTATCAGAGTCACATTGACTTAATTTACCTTTTCATAGGGTTGGGACGGATTCATAGAGATTAATCATATTCGTGTCGGTAGGACCCTAAGAGCCTGTTTGAGTGTTTGGTACACTGTGATTTGGTTGTAAAAGAATTGAAATTCAATGAACAAGGTGAATTACATTGTTTTGTTGGAGAGAATTACAATTACGACGAATTGCAATTCAATGGATGGAGAAATGAAAAAATAGATGAAATGACACTATTACCCTTGGCTACTATTATTATTATTGTTATTATTATTACACAGGGGTATTTTAGTCTTTATATAATTTTTTTCCTTCTCAATTCCAATAATTCTATTAATCCCTATAAACAACGTAATTTGAATTCTTACTTTATTCTCACCTTATTCTTTTCCCACCGAATTACAATTCATTTCCCTCATAATTCCTTCATTCCCATCAAACGCCGTGTAAAAGTGACAAAACGCTCTCTCAACCGTTTTTTGAGTACTATAGACTCTGTTACGAGATAGTATATATTGTATATTTTCTCCATATATTGCTGTGACTTTCCCTTATAAAGAGCTTATAAGGTGGTTGACATTAATTATTTATCTTATACTGATATATTAAATTGTTTGTTAATCAAGGTTGAAAAGAGTGTGCTTGGAGGGGAGGAAAGTCTAAATTCTAAAAAGTAATAAGTAATCTTTTGTGAGCGGACTCGTTTTGGCTTGCTTTTATAGCGGTCACTCCCCTCACTTTTTCCCTTCGTTCACACCCGCCTTTTTCGGCCATTCCGATCACCGCTTTCTCTCTCCAACCAATATGCGTGTGTATATATATATCATGTGCGTCTCTGTGAATCAAAGCCCTCAAAGTTAATCTAAGCATTGGGTTGAAGGAAAGAACAAAATGATCACAAGGCTTTTTGGGTTTCTTGCACTTTACTGAAAGCACATACGTATATGAATGAATGAATGAATGGTGTGAATACTTGCTGTGTGGAGTGAGATTTTTCAGGAGGGGGGAGATGGTGAAGGGTTACTCGTTCTTTGCTCTCTTCATTGCTGTCGCCATTTGTATCAGTTCAAACACAGCTGATTCTGTGCGCTCTGGAGACCCTTTCGCCGCCGTTCTTGGTAACTCATAACAGAGAATGATTTCTTGAAAATTCTTGAAAATTCTTCAGTATCCTGTTTGACTGATTTCTCGGTTTCTCCTTCTGGGTATTTGATGTTTTGTTTAGTTGCTTTTATTTACTCTAATGAGATATCGATTAGTAATTGAAATGGAAATTGGCGCTCACTTTGAAAATGGGTTGTGTGAAGTTAGATGAGTTTTGATCTTGGAGTGCTATTTTTGGCAATTAAAGTTTTGATCTTTTTCTTAAAAATGGAAAATTACTTCCTCGATTTTCTCACTGCAATTGCGTGGTAGTAATTTCTACAGTTCTACACGAATTGGTTTCCTGGTTGTTGTATAGTACAGAAGTTGGATTATGAAATGCACTACTCAGTAACTCTTAATAAGCTAGTTATTATACAAAAACAGAAATAAATCTTGATATTTTATTGTACAAAAACTACTAAATGTAGAAGTTTTGTGTGATTTGTTGCTCTAATTGCTTAGTAAAAAACAGTTGTAAGCTGATTGAGTTAGTGAGTTTGATTAGTTGATAGCATTAGCTTATTGTTGAAAGATGTTTGATAAATTAGCTGTTAGTTGATAGCTGATTACATACAAAATTACTTTCTCAAAAAGCTGATCAAAAAAGCTGTTTTGAGTAGCTTTTTGAATTTTAGTGTTTTGGAGTAATAAGCTGTCACAAAAAGCTAATTAATCAAACACTCATATTGGTTGTTTAACCAAATCAAACAAGTAATAGTGGTCAAAATTTTTTCTGAACTTTGGATTGTTGATGATCAGATCATTAATGTGATATTTGTCTTAATTATGTGGAGAAAATGCAGGCAAGGAAAACTTTGGGTCTTGGACAGATGGGGTACTGAATGCAGGCTTGGCACAGGCCCAGGCACCTGGTCCTGCCAGTGAGGGACTTACTTGCACGCTTGTATTGGCGGGGAATAGGACGAAGCGGCCAGACATTCTTTCTAGGTTTCGCAAATACAGAGGTGGATGGGATATTGCAAATAAACACTACTGGGCTGTAAGTTCTTTCCACTTTTTATTCTCTCCAGGTTGCATTAGCTATGGTGCTTTGTGTGTTTGCATTAGCTAGATTGTTTCCTGTTAGGATTTGGCCATGATTTTGATTGCTTATTGTTGTTTCCTGCTTACCTTTGCACTTCGTCGACCAAGAAAAGGCAAAAGATGAGAAATAATGACGAAAAGAAAATTGAAATCACTTAATGGTTTGAACTTACTGCATTACTTATTGATTTCCCATTGGATAGGGCAAGGAAGATAGCCCTTTTCCCTGCTACTTGCACCATTTGCACTCTTGTCTTTGGCACACGTTTACAACCTAGAATTTACTAGACAATTAACGTTTTAAAGACACCATCTTTTTCTTGTTGGTTGAATGTTCAAAGCAAAAAAGTTGAGCGAGGCATACTTATGCATGGTTGTATCTGCAGTCGGTTGGGTTTACAGGTGCGGCTGGCTTCATTCTTTCGGTGGTATGGTTTGTTTCTTTCGGCTTGGCCCTCGTGGTACATCATTGCATTGGATGGAGCATTAATATCAAGGGCACCGAATCACACTGCTCAGAAAGGATTTGCCTAATCGTGCTTATCGTCTTCACATGCACTGCAGCGTAATAATTCAGTACAACTTAGATTGTGATTATCTATTTACTAAGCCCTGTACTTACCTAATTCCCTGTATCTCTACAGGATTGGATGCATTCTTCTTTCTGTCGGACAGGATAAATTTCATGTCGAGTCTTTGGATACTCTCAAATTTGTTGTGAACCAATCGGACTATACTGTGCTGACTTTGAGGAATGTGACGGAATACTTGACGCTTGCAAAAACAGTTAAAGTGGCCCAGATATTCCTCCCGTCAAATGTAATGGATGATATTGACCGATTGAACGAAGACTTAAACGATGCGGCAGATATGCTCGAGGAGAAAACAAATGATAACTCAGACAGGATAAGAGGCGTCTTCAATGTTATGTATGATATTATTACAGATTGCGTAAATTCTTAAATTGTTTTGGTTTTGTTTAAACATCTAATTTTGATAATCACATAAACTTTTTTGCAGCCGCATGGCATTGATCACAGTTGCAGCAGTGATGCTTATCATTTCTCTTCTTGGTCTTTGTATGTATTATTAAATACTTCTCGATTACAAACTTCCCCGCTCGCCAATTGACTAATGTGCATCATACTTTCTTGCAGGCCTATCTATCCGAGGCCATAAACACACAATTCATATGTATGCTTCTCCCCGATCAGTTCTGAGACAGTTCATAAAAATTACATTTTTTTTTTTGCCTTTACCTCTTTTTTTCTGCTTTAGCGGGGAAAGTGGAAAAGGCAATGGGTTTGTCTATCTGGCTTTCAATTGTCTTACGGCTGATTAAACTTGGTGCAGATTCATCATTAGTGGATGGTTGCTAGTTTCGGTTACATTCATTCTCTGTGGAGTTTTTGTAGTCATTGACAAGTAAGAATTTGAAATTTTAGTAGATTTTGATTTCTCATTGAAAGAGCGTTTTAGTAGATATTGAAAGGGCATATTTTGATGGTGAATATTGTGGGTTTCAGTGCAATTTCCGACACTTGTGTAGCCATGGGAGAATGGGTGGACAATCCTCATGCAGAAACTGCTCTTAGCAACATCCTGCCTTGTGTTGACCAGAGAACCACAAACCGGACACTGGTCAAGAGCAAACAAGTCGTTGTTGACATTGTAAACATCGTCAATGGATTTATAGACACCTACGCTAATTCGAATCCAACTGATCCACACAACTCTATTTATTACAATCAATCCGGACCGTTGATGCCTCATCTTTGTTATCCTTACGACTCCCGGCTGCAAGATCTTCCTTGTTTCGAGCAAGAGCTTTCTATGGAAAACTCCTCATTGGTAATACCGTTTTTTTTTTTTTTTTTTTTTTTTTTGCTCCAAAGGTTATAATAATGAACTTTGGTTATATAACAAAAATGCTAAATGCCAAGACCTTCTGGTCTAGTGGCACCAAGTTGCACTCCTGTATGGGAGGTTATATAACAGATACTGCATTGTAACAGAGTCAGTAGCACTAAAAAAAAAATGCTAATTCCTCTCTTCCATATGAAAATTTGTTAGGTTTGGCAAAAGTACACCTGCAACATGTCAGCCACCGGTTTCTGCAGCAGCATAGGGAGGCTGACGCCCGACATGTATGGACAGCTCGTTGCAGCGGTGAACATCAGCTACGCGCTCCAACATTACGCCCCGCCAATGCTGAACCTGCAGAACTGCAATTTCGTACGTGACACCTTCCGGAACATCACCTCCCACCACTGCCCGCCATTGGAACACCACCTCAGAACCGTGAATGCAGGGCTGGCATTGATCTCGGTGGGCGTCATGCTCAGCCTTGCACTGTGGATGATATATGCAAACCGCCCCCAAAGGGAGGAAGCGTTTGCGAAGCTCTTCTTCAAGAAAAATAGGGCGCCGCCATGTTAAAGAAAGGCCGCGATATTAGCAACCGAAGTACCATATATGGCTTTAGAGTTTTAGACAGCATATAGTATGAGGATTAGGTTACAGGGAAGAGAATAATAATGTTATGGCATAGGATCTGTGTTTGATTGATCTCTTGCATGCCAGGCTCAAGAATGGGGCGAAGCAGCATTTTTGAGTTTGAGGGCTAGGAGCCAATTTATTCATCTACACTGGTTGTAACATGTAATATGTATATAGAATACAGACTAAATTTTGTTCTTCCATTCATCTGATTTACTTTGTGCAATTTGACTTCTTTGTGAATATCAGGCTGGAAATTTGGTCAGACACAGTACCAAATCAGATTAGAGGGTTTAGTTGTTAGCTGATTGGATTAATTAGAGGGTTTAACTAGTTGATAACATTAGTTGGTTGTAGAACTGTGTTTGGTAAATTAGCTGTTAGCGGATAGCTATTCGGTATAATTTATTTTTTTGAAAAGTTAATTAAAAACGTTGTTTTGAGTATCTTTTTGAATTTTAGCATTTTGGAGTACAAAAAGCTAATTAATCGAACACTTATATTGATTTTTAAACTAATTTAAACAACTAATAGTGATTAAATAAGCCAAAATTGGCCTTTAGGTTAACTATTTTACCATTCAACCATTGACACATCTTGGAAGCTTTCTTGACTAAGTAAGAGTATCCCTAATAGTGGATAATGCACAAATTTTAAGGAAAAGGAGGCTTTGTTGGAGGAGAGAGAGGCAAGAAAGAGAAATTTGGAAAGCATATGTAAGAGAAGAGATAATGCATTGTTGGAGGAGAGAGAGGCAAGAAAGAGAAATTTGGAAAACATATGTAAGAGAAGAGATAATGCAGAAAAGTGGATCCCACTGATCAAAAGGTTCAACTGCTCGTGCGTGGCACAAGTGCACCCAGCGGGTACGTGCAATGCACGCGCCATCTAGGCGTGTCAGCACGCGCCTGAGAATGACATGTTTTTATTATTATTTTTATTTTTTAATCAGTTTTGTTTTTTTTTTTTTTGTTTTTTTCTCCTCCCATATTCTCGTTGCTAATCACACTTACAACAACCCCTTAAAACCACAACAAGAATCAACTATTGTGGATGCTTACAAGGCAAGAAGCAAGCGATCCTTCTAGTACAAGCTCTATTTATAAATAACCTAAGAAATTTGTTTTGCGTTTTATTACTAATATTAATGCACTATGGCTTCTATTTGTGTATCTTCTATTTTTTTAGTGACGAGAGAAATTCACTGCTATTATTCGAGGTAGAGATAACAATTTTAATATGCTCTATGAATATCTATCTATCCTGCATAAATTAAGTTTTTTTTTTTTTTTTTTTTTTGATAGTGGGTGGTGGGTCGAAAGGTTTGTTTTAAAAATTAAACACGCGGTGGCTCAGGTTCGATTCAAATTTTATGTACAAAACTAGCCTAGAATATATAGGGAAGGGTTCAGGTGCGGGTATAGGCTTCCCGTGTGGTTGTGCAGTTGACACACCTTAAGCATTAAAATGACGCACCTTAGGAACACAAATCACACACCTTATGAACACAAACCACACACCTAAGGTTTTAAAATGGTTCACCTTAAGTTTCACACAACTAACGCACCTTAAGTTTCAACAACTTCTCACATTAAGCACAAAACTCATGCACCTTAAACACAAAAATTACGCACCTTAAGTTTCAACAAATACTCACATTAAGTAGTAAGCACACAACCCACGCACGTTAAGCACAAAACCCACGCACCTTAAGTACAAAAACCATGCACCTTAAGAAGAAAAACCACGCATCTTAAATTTGACCTAAATGCAAAAATTACCAAATTGACATCGCGTTTTTTTTTTTTTTTTTTTTTTTCAATTTTTGTAATCTTGGATGTTGATTTAAGCAAGATCAATTACTCGGATTTAACCGCACAACCGTACATGGGCGCACCAACCGCATTTGAACATTATTATTTTCCTACTCCGAACTTATAAGCCTTGCATCCTTATAAGTTCTAAATTAATAAGTTTATTTTTTTTAAAAAAATAAAAATTTAGTTATTATATGTAAATATTTTATATTATTTTATGTTTTAATATAACTAGTGAATATTATTATTTTATTATGTGCAAGTAATTTAAGTATTATTTTAAATTTTTTAATAAGATAACCAGTGGTGATGGTGGGTACCTGTAGTGGTTACCTGCACCCAGTAGAGCGATAGTGAATTATGAAAAAGTTCAACCGTTGTGAGTCGTGATTGGGATGGATGGAGAAAATATAATGTGAGTCTGGTGATAGATGTTGTCATTCATGACCCATTGTTATACCTAACCCAAGGGTGTGCACTAGGTATCAACCTAGGTTACCCATAGTTGATTGACCCAAACCAAGATAGTTGGAAATCAAACTCGTAACATTGTAATTAAAAGTTTATATTTTTCTTAGCTATCTTGATTGGGGTTACCCATGCAACTTCTATTTATTTTACATTTTTACCAAGCTAGGCTTGTAAGCTTGTTGGCTTTCACGGCTTTTGTTTAACGAGGGTTTGAATCCCTGTTGTTGATAGAGATTTTCACTATTTGACAATGTACAACCCAATGAAATTGACGTGCCGCCCTTGTACAAAAGGTAATAAAAATTAAAAAATTTCTTAAAACATTAAGGGTATGTTTAAAAATCTGAAAAATGATTTCTGAAAATTATTTTATGGATTGTTAGTGTTTAAATGCGCTTGAAAAATTCAGTCAACGAATAGCATTTTCTGTTGATTAGAAAAAATCTTTACATTTTGGCGGAAAATGACTTCCGCCAAATTTTGGCGGAAGTAGTCATCTTCCAGACCAAAGCTACATCGACGAACGACGATGAAAGCTTCCTTACCAAGGCAACTACATTGACGAACGACGATGAAGACTTCCAGACCAAGGCTCTCGTTTCCGACGGACTAGTTTTTCCCGGAAACCAAGGCAATTCTTAGGAATGCCATCATTTTTTTTTAAATTTTAATAAATAATATTATTTTTAATATTATTATAAATATTTTTATATTTTAAATAAATTAATTAAAATGTTTAATTATATAATTATACTCATTTTCCATAAAATGAACCAAACACATCAAGACAGTTTTCCATAATACAACCAAACACTAGAAAGGAAAATATTTTCTGAAAAATGACTCATTTTTCAGAAGTCATTTCCATACTTTCCAAACGGACTCAAAAAGAAAAATACAAAATTTGTGGAGTAATCTCAATTGAATTAGTTAGACAAAATTTGAACGACTCGATTATGAGTGGGCTTTCTCATAAATCGATGTGCACTAAAGTAGACGGGGAAACTATTTCTAAGTAACAAGAAAAGACAAAAGTGAAGTCCAATGTCTTCACAATTTATCTTCTCTAATTGGTTAATTTCATTTCTTGATACGAGTATATCCACAGTAGAAGAAGGTGAAAATCAAGAATTTGGAGAAAGAAAAGAAACAACCCATGCTACTAGGCCAAGGAGAAAACGAAGGAAACCGGCACGGATAGCAGATTACATTTGTTAGACTAAGTTTATTCGTAATAGGATACATTAGTTTAGTCCTAATACATTATTATATCATATTAATTAGGAATCATAATCCTAAGCATAATAGGAGTAACTTAGTATATAATCACCCTGCATGCTAGGGGAAAAAGACATGCGAATTATTATTATCTTTTTCTTCTCTACTATCATCTTCCTTCTCTGAAATCTCTCTCCCTCTCTCCCCCCCCTCTCTCTCCCTCTCTCTCTGATTTTCCCCTCCCCTAATTCCATCTTTGGAGTCTGCATCCACTCAAAGCGGTGCCGGCTTGATACGGGTTCGTATCATTGCTTCAATCTGAAATTCCAAAGTCCATCTAATCACAACTTCAAACTTCACTGTTTGATTTGATTAAAAATTTTGACAGATATATTAATAGAAAGAGCAAAAGCGCTATTTTGTTAACTACTTAATGACTAAAAATGGTGACAACCATAATATATAGGAACAAAATTCGCTACTACTAAAAGTTCAATATTTGCATTGAGAAATATGCAAGTTTCAATTTGGCCGCATAGCGCAGTGGATTAGCGCGTCTGACTTCGGATCAGAAGGTCGTGGGTTCGACTCCCATTGTGGTCAATTAAAAAAAAAAGAAAGAATAACGTTCTAATGTGTATATAGAATACAAGACTAAATTGCTCTATTTATAAATAACCTAAGGAATTTGTTTTGCGTTTTATTACTAATATTAATGCACAATGGCTTGTATTTGTGCAACTTCTATTTTTTACAAGGTTGCAAAAATCGCTAGGCGCCCTCTAGGCGCCTGGGGACGACCGCCTAGGGCTTCTAGGCGGGCGCCTAGAGTGATTAATCGGCGCCTAGGTGGCCGACCGCCTAGCGCCGATTAATCGGCGCCTAGGCGTGATTTTTGCAACACTGATTTTTTAATATACTCTGTGAATATCTATCCACTTAAATTCACACTGCATAGATTGAGGGTTTTTTTTTTTTTTTTTTGGAGTAATAGTAGGTGATGAGTTGAAGGCGGGATCTTAAAAATTGAACACGCGGTGTGTTGGATTCGATTCGAATTTTATGTATAAAACCAATCTAGAACCCCACCCAACCAACCATGTATATATATAATAAACCCAATCACAACTTCAAACTTCACTGCTTGGTTTGATTAAAAAATTGACAGATATATTAACAGAAAGAGCAAAAGTGATATTTTGTTAACAACTTGTTGACTAAAAATGGTGACAACCATAATATATTGGAACAGAATTCGCTAGTACTAAATGTTCAATTTTTACATTGAGAAATATACAAAATTCAATCTGGCCGCATAGCGCAGTGGATTAGCGCGTCTGACTTCGGATCAGAAGGTCGTGGGTTCGACTCCCACTGTGGTCAAGTGTGTGAAGGGGTTTTCGATTGTTGATTACAACATATGATTTTGAGATTCCCGCTACTCTGTTAAATTCCCACAACAGACCACCAGACTTAAAGCTAAAATCCCACAAGAAGAGTCTAGTTAGAGATGACTTGAGTAGCATTAAATATAATTTCTCACAAAACTAGTTCAAGTAGTAGATCACCTGATCACAAAACTAGTTCAAGTAGTAGATCACCTGACCTAAAGTTACTACTCCAAAACTAGTTCAAGTAGTAGATCACCTGACCTAAACTAGTTCAAGTAGTAGATCACCTGACCTAAAGTTACTACTCCAATGACAGAAATCATGAAATGAATTCGTGAGCCAACAACAACTAGCAATTTACCTTACCTCCTCCAATTACTCCAATGACAGAAATCATGAAATGAATTCGTGAGCCAACAACAACTAGCAATTTACCTTACCTCCTCCAATTACACTTGAGCATGATTTCTGAGGCTTAGAATTAGCGATGTAAATAGAAATTGAATGTATAAAAAAAAAAAAAAAAAGTCTAAAATTAAGGCAGAAAAGACAAGAGTGAAGTCCAAAGTCTTCTCAATCTGTCTTCTCTAATTGGTTAATTTCATTCCTCCACTCTGAAATTCCATAGTCCATCCATTCACAACTTCAAACTTCAGTGTTTGGTTTGATTAAATTTACTCTCACTTTGATCGATGGCTTCTCCGACTCTTCTGCTGCTCTTCACGGCCACTTTGCTTCTTTCATCCTATGGCTATGGGGCATCGGAATCAGTTTCATCGTCCAGCGCCGAGAAGCGCAACTTCGCCGTTGACTTGACCGCCGTTGACTTCGACGCCGTCCTCCGAGACACTCCGGCCAGCTACGCCATCGTTGAGTTTTACGCTCACTGGTCAGTTTCATTCTCTCTTTCGCCACTCAGATTCAAATTGTAACATAGTACTCCGTATATGATAGAACTAATCAAATTATGACTGAACGACTTAGCTTAATGGTTTAGTAGACAGTATTTGTAAGAAGAAATCATGTTCGAATTTCGGTGGCACTGTGAGAATTATGCCCAAAATGAACAAATCTCTTGTGCACATCGACATTTGGTCATTTCTACTAAATCAGATACTACATTGTAAATAATCATGAGTATTAAAAAAAAAATTAATTCAAAGATATGAGAGGGAAAGGTGATTAGAGAATTGCATTCACTTTTTTACTTTCACTGATCTAAGCTGATAGAATTATATAGGGCTAAGAGATTTGAGAAGTTAAAGTTTTTTTTTTCTTTTATTATTACATTTTATTTAAAGTAAATCTCTATTTAAAAATACTTCTATTTGTTTTGCAGGTGCCCTGCTTGCAGAAACTATAAGGTATTCAAAGTTTGTATGTTTATGTCCCACCTTTAAGTTCTATGCTTAATTCAATAATTCTCTATGGCTAAATGGGCAAATTTTGGTTTGGGCAGCCACATTATGAGAAAGTTGCTAGACTTTTCAATGGGGTAGATGCTGTTCATCCCGGAATTTTGCTACTCACTAGAGTCGATTGCGCTTTAAAGGTATATATTTCTTTGTCATTTTTATGTTCATTATTAAAAATTACACAAAGTTTATATGTTTTAGCACTATTTTGATGAGTGGTTTAGGCTTATCTTATGCAATAAGCATTTATGCTATTTTCTTTTTTAATTTATAATTTGAATGAATTTTATCACTTGAACTTCTTTGACATTATACTAATTTGTACGATGTCCAACTCTTTATACTTTTTGGGTTGTATATAATACGTTGTAACAAGTATTCTTACAATCTTACTGTACTTGGCAAGCAACCAAATTAAACATATTATAAGTGATTGTACATGATATAAATCAACAAAATATAGATCAAAATTTTATAATTTTCTCAAATTATAAATTTACCTTATAATATTTTATTGAGAATAGCTTACTAACAATTTTTTTTTTCTAAACAATTCGAAGGTAAATATTGATCTTTGTGATAGGTTCTCTGTAAATCACTACCCCATGCTTTTCTGGGGTAAATCTTCTGAGTTTGTCAATGGCAATTGGAGTCTACATGGAGGAATAGGAGAAATGCGTCCCATTGATAATGGACGAACCCACGTTCAATTGCTCAACTGGATTAATATATACTTGAATAGGTATGAAAATATATTACTTTGTATTTTGTTTTAAATCGATCCTTAATTAAAGTATACTCTAATAAATCATATAAATTGATAGTACTTTACAAAAAAAAAAAAAAAAAAAATTGATGATTATATTATTTAAAGGAAAGTTGAAAAATGGTGTTTCAAAAAACATTGTCTAAAAAAAAAAAAAAAAAAAAACATTGTCTAATACATTTTATGTACAACATGTTAGTTAATTAATGTACCTACATTGTCATAGATCTTGTAATCGAACGACATAACTGTGACTCTTCTAAATGGAAGGTCACAAGTTTGATGAGTGGACATTCACTCTTTGTGCTTAATGTACATATATTAATAGCAATCTTTTATTTTTTGCATATTCAGCATGTATGGCTTTGATGACGAGAAGAAAGAGGAAAGTGTACTTCTGACAAACGTTACAAACCTCGGACAGGTTTTTTCATAATGCCTAATTACCTAGACTTAATTAGTTCCTAAACATTGATATTGTTTGATCTACTCGAAAATAAAAAAATTATAAAACGATTAATTAAAACAATAGAAATTAATAATTAATATATTAAAAGTTTACAGGGTTGATTGACATTTATGTATGTCGATTGTATAAGGTATATTTATTTATACCAAGTACTATTGTAACTATACTAGTAATATCTTGTAAAATTAAGTATATCTTATTTATTAAAAAAAAAACTATTATTATATCATGATAAAGAAGAAATGTAAAATCGAAAAGAATTTTTAAGTGTATAAAAAGTCTACAATGTACAAGTTATTATATTTAATGGTAAATTAACAATTTAGTGAAGAAAAAGAAAATTAAAGAATGGTAAAATCGAAAAGAATTGTAAGTTTACCCAAAAAAAAACATTTGTATAAATTATTACTACTACTTATTATACTAACACATCTCTTATTTTTGTTAAAATTTTAAAATTATTGACTTTTATATAATTTTTAGATTTGAATATATTTGAGTTGAGATGATTTAACTATTTGTTTATCAATTATTATACCGTGAACCATGATCCACAACTTCATATTGTATCATTGACATGTTAGTCATTTTTGTATATATATATATATATATATATATATATATATATATATATATATATATAAAGCAAACAAAGCATAATATTATTGAAGGTTCATATTTAATGTACTAAATTTTTAATATAATAAATTAAAAATAAACATTCAATATATTAAAAATGAATATTTATCAATAGTTCATAGTATAATCTGCCTTTGTTCAACCCCTAAAGCAATATTTGTGTCGCTTTGATTATTCAGGTGCAGATTTCTTAGTTCTAAAATGTTAAGAAGTGATTAAGAAAGTCGGCAAAGGAAAAGAGAAATTAATTCCTTTATAATATAATGCTTCTTCTATTTGTATTATGAAGTGATACGATAGATTATTCTCATAATTTTTTCCAGAGGTATTTATGTATTACTAAAACTATTTAATTTGCTTACAATATAATGGAGTTATTTGTTATTTTTGTAATTTGTTATAATTATTTGTATTTAATTATAGTTGAATCAATAGAGATTATAATTATATTGTTATTTTTACTCATTTAAAATATTGCAATTGTAATGTTATACTCATATTTTCAAATTAAAATTTTTATGTTCTTTAAAGTTACTTATTATATTTTGAAAAATTCAACAAAAATAAATGATGAAACTGATTAATATCAAGATTTGTATAATTAATTCGAGATAAAGAAATGAGCAAGGTATTGACTGAAAAATTGCTAGTTATTGTCGGAACAGAACATTTGTTTCAATATATTATGTCGCCCCGAGACAATAATTACGAGGATTCATGTTTTTATTAAGTTCCTTATTAACCTTGTATTCTTCGTGGTTGAGTCTTGAGAAGTTGAGACGATCTCACTAATTCGAGCTCATTCACGTACTCCAAGTCATCACAGGATGTTAGGATAGCGAGGTCACTCCATTCCGTCTTTTAACCTTAGGATGACTTTGTCATGTTGAGAATTTCCAAGCTCTTATCAAGGATGACCTCATTAGGCCTTTTGATCCAAGTCATCACAAGGCAAGGGACTAATCGAATTATCATATCATCAAGCCCCGACCCCCTAAGTTACAATAATTTGACAATGAGAAGGAATTGTCAAGTTTGAGTTCGGTTGATCCAATTCAGGGTTCTATTTCTTCCCGTGGAAAATTATAATTTGAAATAAAATATTCTCAAAATTAATGTCACAATAATATCTCATTATACAATAGATACACAACAAATATATTTGAGTATTTAAATATATTGTTTTCAACGAACTTGAACAAAATAACACTTCAAAATTTATAGGGGTGTTAGCATAAATTTTTGAGAGAGTAGAGAGACCTCGTAAGGATAAAAAATAGAATCCAAAATGGGATATTAGTGATATTACACATACACATTTTTTTTTGAAGAGTTCACAAACACAATTTTTAAATAGAGAAATGGAAAACGCACGTGAATACTGAATAGTAACCTGAAGTTATTATTCAGGTCAATTAGGGCATCGGCGAACAACCACTCCGGCGAGCCACCTTCTCCGGCGAGCCACCTTCTCCGGCGAACGATAGGGCAGGCATGTTTTCCCCTCTTTCTTTTGCTTTTTATTTATTTTTGCTATGCTGAGATATCCGCACAGAGGCGCAAGGCGTGGGCACCGGCGAACCTCCTTCTCCGAGGCGCGCAACCACTCCGGTGAGAAGATTTGCTGGGCTAAGGAAAATTAAAATTTCCCAGGAGCCCAGGTGTCGTATGTAGGCTATTTCCAACAGTCACTGCCTTCTTCCTTCACTCTTTGTCGATTGCTTTGTTTTGAATTTTAGTTTCTTTATTATCATCCACAATTTCATTTCAAGTATGCTTGCTCTGATCCTCACAATTTTCGTTGATTCTGCTGATTTTATTAGCTCTTTTCATTTTATTTTTGATCATTCCTGTAATTTGTACGGAGTATACTTCTATTGCCTTTCAAGACTCTGGTATTTATGTGCACAATATTCAACATCTTCACTGATTGTTTGCTAATATGTATTTAGTTTTGGGGACTCAAAAAGATGAAGTGTTTCAAGTTTTTAAAGTAGACTATATAGTTCAGTAAAAATGGTAATTTTATTTCAAGTGCAGCTATCAATACAATTGTTGTTCTTTTTCCAAAGGTTCGCTTAATTGACCCTAGTTCCAGAACTCAAGTTAGCTAGATTTTTTATCCATATTGAGATTTGGTTTATGCAGCTTGTTTGCATTATGTTGCTGTTGGATGTGTTTGATGATTTCCTTAAATCAATATTGCCACCAAGTACTTCGTTTGTGCTTTTTAGGATGTGATCATAACTCTTAAGGCTAAAATTGTGTAGTAAGAGTATGTCAGTGTGTGTTTCTTTATTCTACCTTTCAATGTTCAAAGTGCTGTGTATGAGATAGAGAGTGTGCAGAAAACTCAAGTGCACACAAATGGTTTAATGTAGAAGATAATGATTTATGTACATCAATTTTTGTTTTTGGGAGAAAATTTATCAAGAGGTAATGAATTATAAAAATTTAACAGGTTTGAAAATTACCTTTTGGATACAAGAGATGGAAAATCTCTAGAGTTTATGTACTAGTTTTGTATTGGAGTATTGCACTAGTTATTAGGTTATGTAATATGTTCTATTGTTGTAGTATTAGGTTTAATTTTTTAAATTTCTTTTTTAACAAATAGCCTATTTAAAGCCTATAATGTAAAGGTCTTAAATAGACTCAAAGCCTATTTAAAGGCTACAAAATGAAGCCTATTGTAGGCTCAGGCTTGGACCTAAAAAAAGCCTACTTACAACCATTTGTTAAGGCTTGGCATAGCCTATTTCCACCCTGATCGGCAGCCACACTTCCAGTGGTAGCTGTGCTTACCCACCAATCAAGCAATGTAGTGTGCTCTCCCTCACTGGCAACACCACCCATAGCTTTAGGCTGCCCTCAACTCCACGGTAGACAAGCGATGACACTCTAGTAACTCTCTATCATCCAATATCTGTTTCTCATATATCTCATCTAGGCCTTTGAGTGTAATTTAGATTATTTCTAAAACACCATTGCTACACATGCTTTTCCTATTGCTGCCCAGCGATTTGTATGATGATGGTTTTACTTGCCCAAGCCATTCTTGGTTATTTCTTGCTGATATTATTGATGATTGTGAATCAATTGCTTTTTTTTTAAGCCATTTGATTGCTTCAGCTTTTGGCATTTGAACACGTTTCTTTATTTGCAGCCGATGTTTGGAATGTTATAATGTGGCTTTCATCTTGATTTGTCAATGCATTTCAGATTTCAGATTTTTAGCATATTGATTCTATAGATAGCTTGGAATTACTGGGATTACTTTGATTTTATTAGATTAATCTGTATTTTTTAGATTATTGGGATGGAGAGTCTGTGTGAAATTTTGCGGGGACCCCCATAATCCCTGCAGGTGCGGGGATGGGAAAATATATCCCCTGAATGCGGGGTGGGGACCGGGGTAGGGAGTCAGGATGGGGAATATGTCCCTGCATATTCCCCAGGCCCCGTGACCATCCCTACGTGAACTTCTTAGATTGTATGCTGCATTTTCAGAACAGTTTCTACACTTGATCACAGTTTGCGCCTATTTATTCCCGTGCACTTAATATTGTACTTTTATAATTTATGGATAACTGTTCAAAATCCTTGTCTATCTATACCCTTAAACCTAGTATTGTACATACCTTATATATACCAAACTAGTATGATCAGTTATATCTGTCAATGTTCTGAAAACTGGGGATTTCCTCTTATAGACTCTTGATATCATCAATGGAGATAAAGCGAGAAACAAGCACCTCTGTTTCAGACCCTAGTCCCTCAAAATCGAAGAACAAGAACAGCAAGGGAAAAGCGTTGAAAAGGGGACTGAACATAGAAGGCTATCAAATTGAAGGAATTTCGATTGCTGGTCATGAAACATGTGTGATTATCCCCACTTTAAACTTGGCCTTTGACATTGGCAAGTGCCCGCAACGTGCTGTGTCTCAACAGTTTCTCTTCATCTCCCATGGCCACATGGACCATATTGGAGGGCTGCCTATGTACGTGGCCACACGCGGCCTCTATAGAATGACGCCACCAACAATTTTTGTGCCCAAGGCTGTTAAGGAAAGTGTTGAGAAGATTTTTGAAGCTCATAGAGCTATGGACCAATCTGAGCTCAAGCATACTTTGATTGCCTTGGATGTGGGTAATATCTGATTTCATTTTCTTTAAAATCAACTAGACATATTGATTATTTTGTGTATGCAATTCATGAAAACTGAAATTTATTATTGGACATGATGTGGGTGATATGTAGTTGAATTATCTTTTTTTGGGATGCATTTTAATGTGGAGGAAATTTGAGTTGGCTGATTTTGGTGAATACCTAATTTAATTAATTTTAGTAAATACATATGTTTTTGGAAATTTGTAGTTGATGAGAGTCTATTTATTGCTAGGTATGAATGTCTGTAGTAGCTACTTCAATTTTTTTTTCTTTTTGTTTATTAGAACTTAAATTAATGGAGTACCATGTATTTTCAGGAGAAGAGATTTGCTTAAGAAAGGATCTAAAAGTAAGGGCGTTCAAGACTTATCATGTTATTCCCAGCCAGGTTATCTCTCCTTTCAGTTTGATTGATGCTTTAGAAATATTGAAGGGTGGTTCTCTTGTTTGTCTAAATTGTAGTGCTGCTATCTTCAGTATCCAGTATATCATATATTATATATACAGTGTATAAACCTTATGTTTTTACTTTTTATGTGATTGTATGTTCCTTGGTATGATGGAATGCTTTGTCCTCATCAATTCTCAAAATTTTGGATAATGTATATTTGAGTTTCTATTGTGACTTGTAGGGCTACATAGTTTATTCCATAAAACATAAGCTTAAGCAAGAATACATTGGTCTTCCAGCAGAAGAGATAAAGAAATTGAAGTCATCATGTGTGGAGGTCTGTTGCAATAATCTTATGCATACAAATTTAATGCAACAATTCACGAATATATTGAATAATCAATCGAATACAACATGCCATCCTGTGAATAGCAGATGAATGACATTTTTCTTTCCTTATGACAGATCACAAACACTGTAACTACTCCTGAAATTGCATTTACGGGAGACACAATGTCAGATTTCATTTTGGACAATGATAATATTGATGCTTTGAGGGCAAGGATACTCATTGTGGAGGTAGAGAACTTAATCTGTAACATTTTCATTGTTACTTGATATCCTGGGCTTCTTTGAATATCCATTCCTAGGAGTAGATATGTTGCATCAGTTGTTTACAATGTGTGACTGATTTTTCCTCTCAAAGTGCCTAGTTCTCACACCTAGTCAAATGTATCATTCTAGCACAACCTATGTTGAAAAACTCGGCCAGTTCAAATGTTAATAAAAAACTGTACTTACATCAGGTTTTTTCCCTGCAGAGCACCTATGTCGAGGAAACAGTGACAGCAGAGAATGCTAGGGAATATGGACACACTCATTTGTCTGAAGTAGTAACGATTTCTTTGAATAGATATCATCTTCTCCACTTATGAAAAACATTGATTGTTGTTTTCTTCAACTTTTAACAGATAGTGAAGCATGCAGACAGATTAGAAAACAAAGCTATACTTCTAATCCACTTTTCGGCTCGTTATCAACTCGATGTAAGTTGGCACCACTTTCTTGTAGTTAGTTGTTATTCAAGATCGTTATTAAGTGTTGTCTTTGATTGAATATATATTTCTAGTCTTCTCGTTCTGTTATATGGCCATCCTACTGAGCGAATGGAAGTTGAAAAGATACCGTACTTGTTAAATTTTTGAGATTTACTAGGCAAATTATACTATGGACAATGGTCTACCTTGCATTGTAGACCCTGGTCCAAAAATAACCTTCAGATTCTCTATCTATAGTTGACACATTTTGTACTTGCAGTTGATAGTTTATGTACCTATAGCTATCATATTATGTAACTTTCAGGGATCGTTTGGTTCACGGAATGTCAGATTACCTTGGGAATGTTAGATTGCTGGGAATGTTAGATTCCTTGTGTTTGGTTAAAATTGACGTATGTAATATAATCATGTTTGGTTTAGAGTTATCTTTTATTCACACACTATAATATCCTTAACATATTTTTATATATTTTAATAAATTTAAAAATTAAAATAAATAAATAAGATAACGGTATCATATATAATTACATGATTTTAAAATATTAACTAAAATATTGAACTTGAGAAACAAAATTATTTTATATGCTAACCTAACATAATAAAAAAAAAAAAAATATATATATATATATATATATATATAATTACAAAAATAATTATATATATATATATATATATGTATATATATATATGTGTGTGTGTGTGTATAATAAACTAACATAACCAAGGTTATCTTACATAACCTTAGAAATTGAAGGGAATCACATTCCCTTCAAAATCCTATGTGGAGGGAATGTGACATTCTTGGGGAATGTTAGATTCCCTGAGATAATATGAACCAAACATAGGAATGTGAACTTTGGAATGTCACATTCCCTTGGTTATGTTATATAACTTGAACCAAACGCCCCCTCAGATTCTGTATCTATAGTTGTCACATTCTGTACTTGCAGTTGATAGTTTCTGTACCTGTAGCTATCATATTATGTGTTAGCAATTATCAAGTTATTTGTTTACATGTACAGAAATGGTTAACTGTAGGTACAGAATATGTTAACTGAAGGTACAGAATTTTTGTATCAGGGTTTACAATGCAATATGAATCTTGGTCCATGGTATAACAATTGGATTTACTATGTGTTGAAAATAATTTGCTTTTGGAGCTTAATTAGGTATTATTTTGGCAGATTCCAGTTTTAAGTATTGATCAAATCTTCCAACAATGTTTAAATGTTTTCTCAGGTCATTCAAGAAGCTATCTCTGCATTGCCTCCACCTTTGGCAGGAAGAGTTTTTGCCCTTACAGAAGGTTTTTGATGATTTTAAGGATATTTTTTGAAAATGGTTTTTATTTTGCGCAATTGGTTCACTTTTTTTCTTTGAATGTTGGAATTTTATGTTTTACAAATTACAAAGGTTGTTCTAATTTGTGAACAAAATTCGAACTAAAAAAACAATTTGAATCTTTAATGGCCTGGTTGGTTTGTAGGGTTTGTAGAAAAGAATTGAAAGTGAATTAAATTTACATTTCATAGAAAAGAAATTATTTCAAATATTGATTCAATATTTACATTTCATAGAAAAGAAATTATTTCAAATATTGATTCAATTGTTTGGTTAATGGGAATAAATTGTTAATATAAAAACTCAAATGTTGATATGTGATGGTGATCTAAAAATTCATGATATTTTTCTTTTAAAAGGTGTGAAAAATAAAATACTAAAGGAGAGTAAAGATTTTATTTTCTTCAATTTTAAAATATTTTATTTGTAATTAAAATTTGCATATACTTTTTATTTTAATGAATGAGAACACTTCATAATTCATTTACAACACTATTGTTTGCATCTATAATATTCTCTTGCATTGTACTATTTCCTAAAAAAATGATAATTTCATTGTCTTTCTCATTCTTTGGTTGGAACACATTTTCTTTTAATCGTAAAAGAGCAATTTGAATACAAATACATCAAAAAAAAAAAAATAAATTAAAAGCAAACAAAGAAATCGATTCTCGAGTTAACATACAGGTAATGCGATTTGTTGTTTGTTTACCAAATGCATAAAGAAAGGTAAACAACATTTCGTTAATATCATATAAAATCAATTTGAAAGAAGAATCGTCATTTTTTGTTGTTAAACCCTGAACTACCATTAGAGCATCCATTTCCATCTAGATCTTCTCATCATTCATCGTCTCTATTTAGTTTAGCACATTCCTAATGGAAATGGCCTCCGCTTCTCTAGAAGTAAAAACTCTAGACTAAGAATTTGTAAGTGTAAAAGAAAAAAAAATGAGCTATTAAATAGAATGTACAAATTATTACTACTAATTATACTAATCCATCTCTTATTTTTGGTAAAATTTTATAATTATAGACTTTTATATAATTTTTAGATTTAAATATTTTTGCTCAATTGAATAGAGTTGGTAAGCCTGGTCTATCTAGCAAGGCTGGTTAACTCATCATGGAGTAACTAAGGATGGCAATATGCGGGGACGGGAATGGGGATGGGAAAAAATTTCGGGGAACGAGGATGGGAAAAAATTTCGGGGATCGGGGACGGGGACGGAAAATTTGTGATTTTTCCTGACGGAGACGGGGACGGGGACGGGGACGGGGACGGGGCCGGGGCCGGGAATACCCCTCCCTGCCCTGCCCCGTCCCGTCCCCGAAAATTAATATATATATATATATATATATATATATATATATATATATATATATATATATATATATATATATATATATATATATATATATATATATTAAGATTATTACCGTATTAGTGTATACATACTGTGAACCATTTAAAAATTTAATCATATAATTGTTTGTTGGTGGATTGAATTGATACAATCATTCATATAATTGTACTGTATTACTATTGAAATTGAAAAATAAATGATGAATCATATAATTATAGATTTCATTTTTTTAAATAAAAAAATGTACTAGTTTTTGACAATTTGACTATGGGGTTGGTCGGGGATGGGGATTTTCCCGCGAGGACGGGAATGGAGAATTTTTTCAATTCCCCGGCGGGGATGGGGACGGGGACGGGGAAGGGGAATACTCCCCGCCCCGCCCCGCCTCGTTGCCATCCTTAGGAGTAACTCCTTTCATGTGCAAGTTCTTCAGGGTGTTTACAACATTAGTGAACTTATTTCAAAATAAGACTGTCTTCATCTCCAAAATTATCAATTATAAGATAATGTGAAAAATAAAGTGACTTTTTAAATTTGTTTTTATTTAACTTTGCAAGCCTGCAAAAAGGCTACGGCATACCCGCCTTTTGATGTACCTAAAAAATGCTTCAACTCATGTTTACTATTTTTTATCTTCAAATCACATATATAAAGGATTGCTATCATAGCTTGTAAATTTATTCTTACATTCATCTTTATCCTCTTACGTTCTTTGTAATATTCTCTTATATTATAGATAATTTTATTACCCATTTGTCTCAAAATATTCTTTGTCCTTTTCCCTATTCATTTCTAACTTTTTTTAATTCTCAATTTTTGATTAATCGCTTCCGCATTATTCTGCTATATTCATAATACTAAATCTTTTGGGTGCTATAACTTTTGGATTTTATATTAAAAGATATATGTTTTTAAAGGAAAAATAACACAATATTTAATTTATTGTAGTATTAAAAAAAAGTTATTATATTTTACTGTATTATTTAATAATGTTAACATTTTAGAAGGAAAAAATAAAAGATTAAATCATAACACATTTATAAATTTACAAAAAAAAAAAAAAAAAAAAAAAAGTAAACATAATGTACAAACTAACATTGCACCTAATTACACTAACATAGTAGTACACAGTACTACACTACTACCGTACTACTATCTTAAATTCTTAATCCTACTGGCCAACAAGTAATTAATCACATATTCACATACCAAGTTGCATGCATATGGTCCCAACAACCTAACTTAATTAAATTAAGCTTGCAAATTAAGACCAGTTTTTAGTTTATTTATTTATTTATTTTGTGTCTAATAATACTTTTATTATAGCTCCTACATACACACACATACACACACATACACACACACATACATACATACATACATACATATATGATTCAAATAGACCATTGAATTACCAATGAAATTGTAATTGAAACATCAAACTAAAAAAATTGTAATTGACTATCTAAACAATTTAAAATAATTCAATTAAACTACAATTGATTTGTTTTTAATGCTCCTTTCAAAAAAAAAAAAGATTTGTTTTTAATGCTTACTATTGATGTGGCGGTTAATTTATTAAAAAATTATTTTTTAAAATTAATCTTAATAATTAAAAAAATTATTATTATTTTTTTAAAAAGCTTTAACCTCTCTCCTTCGTCTTTGTCTCTAGTCGGAGACGAAGAGAAGGCCTTCGCCTCTCACCTAAAGATGACGAGGTATCTCTTGCCTGGAGATGAAAAAATGGCATTTGCCTTTGGCTAAGAGATGGAGAGGTTTTTTCGTCTTTGGTCGAAAACAAAGGTGATGCTGATTTTTTTTTTTCTTTAAGTAAGTTTAATTTATTTAAATTATTAAATTATTATTATTATTTTTAATGAATTCATTGTCACCACATCAATAATTGGGAGAACATATCAATTTTGTTTTAATTGCATCATTTTAGATTGTTCAAAAATCTAATTATAATTTTATTAAGTTGGATGACCCAATTACAATTTCGCTTGTAATTCGATATCATCATAAGCCTTATTCCTATAAAAGATAACGAATAATAAATATTTGAGTTAATTCTAATTTTGGTTATAGATTTATAGGTGTCCGTCTAGTTTTAATAATTTTTCATCAGAACATCCTCTTTTTTGTCCTAGTATTATTGTGACATGATCAATTTTGGTCATATATCAAAAAAATTGTTAAAATTTTGTTAAATACAAGAACTAAGTAGAATGTCACCTATAAATTTAAGACTAAAAGTGGAATTAACTCTTAAATATTTCTATTCAATTTGCAGGCCGGCAATCTATTCAATGGCACCATTAAATATTTGTATTCGGTTTATTTAATTTGCAAAAGAAAAAAGAAAATAGATGATGTGAGCGTTTCCCAATTAAGATAAAATCCAAAAATCAAATATTTTCACCCTTTGAAAGTCCAATGTAGGGAAGTACGTTAAAACGTCTGCACAAAACGGAAGAAAACTCCTCTGAGGCCGAGGGGTTTGCAGTTTGCTCCTCCAAAACGCAGATCGAAACTGAAACACATACCTATTCTATTCTATTCATTCATACGTATTCCTATACATATGTCTTCTTCAGTTTTGATCCTCTGTTGGGCCATGTTTGTATGGAGCTTGGGAGCGTCTGTGTTCGCTTCAGCTGGATCTCACCGCAGTCTTCTCCGGGCGATCAGCGATGCCAGTGGCGGCGGCGGCGGCGTCGACGAGAAGCGAGACTACGCTGTGGACTTGAACGCCACGGGCTTTGATGTGGTTCTTAAAGACACTCCCGCCACCTACGCCATTGTTGAGTTCTTCGCTAACTGGTCAGTTGCAGTTCCTGTGATTTCTGGTTTTAGGTTTTGTGAAATGAAAATGCTTTTGATTCCGTTCCAGCCTGAGCTTTCGTGTAATTGTAGTTTGCGCTGCTGAAAATGGTCAAATTCTTATTAGTATTAGGGAATGTTGCTTGAAAATGATGCTTAACAATAAATTTGTTGGGGGTAAATTGATTTTTTTATGCTTAGGAATGAAAGACGGAATGTTTTTTTTTTTTTTTTGCAAAATGAAGAAATTGAGAGGTGAAAAATGAAAATTCATTTCCTTTTATTTAAAGAGTGTTAGCAATTTGTTTGCAGAATATTCTTGCAAATTTGTTGTATTAATAAAAATGCTTTCTGATATTAGTATGGCAAGATATATTGCTTTTTCATGTGATTTATAGTGTCTGGAAATGTGGAAACTGGATGATCCTTTTTTATCACGTTGAACTATGAAGTTTTTTTTTTATCAGTTACTCTTGGCCCAGAGCTGCTTTGTGTTCTAACTTCATCAGTGTATTTCATTTTGCCGGATTTTATTAATTTCATGTTCATTTTATTTCTACTACATGAGCATGAACGTATAGTAAAATGAAGGCAAACTGAAATTAACTTGCTTGGAATTAAAAAGAAGTGGGCTGATGGCAAATATTAATTAAAAGGTTTTTTCCCTTACCGCTTTTGAGCACCTTCTATGGCCTTCTGGTTTCCCTTGTAACTCCTCTTACCTTGAAATCAGAACTCAGCTTTACCCATCTTGCTTCTCTTCATACTTTGATCCCCAGTGTCACAAATTTTACATTTATTACAACTCTTTTCATTAATTTTTTTCTATGTCAATCTTAATTGAAGACTTACATTTTTCTTGCAGGTGCCCTGCATGCAGGAATTATAAGGTATCTATATGCTTTCTTTTAATTGAGATTTTATTTTCCTTATGCTCATCTCTGTAGGTTCAACTTTGCAGCCACAATATGAGAAGGTTGCTCGACTTTTTAATGGAGCAGATGCTATTCATCCAGGACTTGTATTAATGACAAGAGTAGACTGTGCATTGGGGGTATTACTACTATGCTTTCTCTTTATTCTTAAGCTGTTATGAATGACTAAAGTAGGAAAAGAAGAATACAGAAGTATGAAGAGAGCAAACATTCACTCCTGTGTGAAATTGTTGTTTTATGCTCTTAGATTGTGGTTGATGTTGTATTGTTACTTCATGCTATTCTTTCTCCTTCTGTCTCTCTATTGGGAGGGAAGGCCACTTGGGGGATGTTCAAGATGCAATCTCATCTTGACAGATTTGGGAGCTTACTCTCGTACCCTACTCATTTTCATAATATCTGGAGATCATATTTCTTTTCCATTACTTACTGGTTCTTTCCTCTTTTCACTTTTTTGGCAGCACAGTTAAATTCCAATCTTTGTGATAAGTTCTCTGTGGGGCACTACCCTATGCTTTTCTGGGGGCCTCCGAAAAAATTTGTTGGTGGTAGTTGGAATCCAAACCAAGAAAAAGGTGACATAATCACTATAGATAATGGACGCACGGCAACTCTCTTGCTAGACTGGATCAATAAGCAATTGGGAAGGTATACATATTGCACTTAACCTAACATAATCAACTTGTTTTTCTTGTTGGTTATATGGTTCAGTTTTTGTTATGTTGAAATTCTACTAACATGGAAAATGGCCTTCCCCTGTTCATATAATTCATACTGCATACTTTGATGACAAGTTTCTTGCAACTGATATCAATTTTTATTATTGGTAACTGTTACTTCTAATGTCATTCCTTTTTTTTTTTTTTTTAATAAAATTATTTTGCTTATCAGTTGTGTAATTCAAGATATATTTAACTCTTATTTTCATTCACTTCTCAATCTCATGTTTAATATTTCTAAATTTTTATCTTTGTTTGTGTTTTTTAATCTCAGCTCATATGGTTTGGATGATGAGAAGTACGAGAATGAGCATATTCAAACAAGTACTGCAGATCTTGAGCAGGTTGTAAATAAAGTGTGAGAGTGAATTAGTTACCACAATTCTTGTAAATTTAGCTATCATTTATATAACAATAATATTAATGTGATAGTTTCTTTGGCAAGCAATCCTTAATTTTCTAATATGCGTGCCATATTATGTGAAAGATTGCCAGAGCTATATATGATGTTGAGGAGGCAACTTCTACTGCCTTTGATATCATCTTAGGGCACAAGGTAAATCAATGGTATTTACATATCTCTAATACCCCCTTTCTCACAGGATGTGTGTGTGTGTGTGTTTTGTTTTGTTTTGTTTTTTTTTTTTTTAAATTTTATTTTCCTTTATTCATTATTGGTTGCCATGAATTTTTGTCTCCCTATTGATTCAGATGATTAAATCAGAGACAAAAGCATCTTTAATAACATTCCTTCAACTTCTGGTGGCTCATCACCCCTCTAGAAGGTCAATACCCTGCATTTTCTATTTTCCTGTTATCTTTTACTATATTGTATATTGTACTGTTTTCACCTTTGGAAATGTGATTCTTGATATAGATGCCGGAAGGGTAGTGGAGAGATTCTTGTTAACTTTGATGATATATGTTCATCTGAGGCATTGTCCAAGAACAAAGATGAAACTGTCAGCTGTACCAAAAAGGGTGTGCTGGGACAGTACCAGATTTGCGGGAAAGAGGTTCCTCGTGGAAATTGGGTAGGTGTAAATTTTGATTTTTATTTAAGAGTAGTTGATGGCACATGAAGCAAAGTGAAGCTAAGTTCATGCTATAATTTGCTTTATTGTGCATAAGTAATGCCGTAATGGTCCCATCACTAGATGTCTATCCACAGCAGTTGCTCATTGGTAGGCTTATAATGGATGATTCGGTGGTACTTCTTATCCTATTCCTTTATCACCTCCTCTTAACAATCCCTCCCCACCCAAGGATGTGAGCAGAAAAAGAGAAAGAATTTTTTTTTTCTTTGGTTGCCTAAAAGAACTACCTTCAAATCTTCAATGACTAAGTGACTAACTTCTTTGAAAGGATGAGATGTACCACATTTAAGATTTCTTGTTTAGAGGTTGCTATTTGCTGAGGAGTTTCTAATGTTAGTACTCTAAGAGTGACTTATATTTTTTCAGATGTTTTGTCATGGAAGTACGAATGACACTAGAGGTTTCAGGTAACATGGCATTCAAATACTCTGTTCTTGAAATTTATGTGTTTTAAGTTGTTTGTACTCACCAAAGTTGGATATGCACACTGTAGTTAAATAACCATTAAGCCATATAATTCCTTGGAAGCATCCTTAGTTGTAAAGTTAGCCTATGTTCTTTGATGCAAGTATTAGGCCATATTATACACTATAAGAGACATTGAGGAGAATCATATCTAGGCTTACGTGTACCTGAGTACTATGATTGGTAATGTCAACTTGAAATTTTCAAATGATTTTTAGCAAAACAGATTTTTATCCTGGTTGAGAAACTGAAATGATTGAGCTTGTTAAGCAATTATTCTTTGCATAGTGGAGCCTACCCTTTCCCTGTCTAAGTAGCTTGTTTTCCTCCTAGTTGTCTTTCAGAACTGCCTTAAAACAAAAATTATTGGGCAAGTGGTCAACTAAGAGTCTAAGACTGCAGGATTAAAAAGGAAACGGTTCTTTGCTCATTAAATGAGTCAATTTCTTTCCTTTTTACTAGTGCAATATTCACATGCTTGTAATCTTGAAGCCTGCCATAATCTGGCACTTATTTTGTTGATTAAACTCACTCACATTTTAAATTTTATGCCTACTGCATTGTTGTAAAATGCATGATACAAAAGGCAATATAGTAAATTAAGTTGGTAGAAACAACTATTTATTTTATTGCAATGGGTGATTGTGGTGCAAATACTTTGTGATACTGTGATTTTTGCTCTATGCCGTTTCCTCAAAACCCTAAACATTTGTTTGGTTTGCAGTTGTGGGTTGTGGGTGTTGTTACACTCACTCTCTGTAAGAGTGGAGGATGGAGAAAGTGAGATGGCATTTAAAGCTACCTGTGATTTCATACACAACTTTTTTCTATGTGATGAGTGTAGGGAGCATTTTCATGAGATGTGTTCAAGGTAAAATGCTAACAGAGGATGTTCTTTCCTTTCCCTTGTCCAATGACCCTAAACATGATTAATTTTTCTTTGTTTTATTGTTTGAACATGTTCTATATAAATGTTCCAAACTTGCAGTGTTTCTAGTCCATTGAAGACTGCCCGAGATTATGTCCTGTGGTTGTGGAATGCGCACAACAACGTGAATGATAGACTAATGAAACAAGAAGCCTCACTAGGGACAGGTGATCCTAAATTTCCGAAAATTATCTGGCCTCCGAAACATCTCTGTCCATCTTGCTACCTTCGCCAAAGCAAAAATGGCGATGGAAATAACAAGATCAAATGGGATGACAATGAGGTCTTCAAGTTCCTGGTTAGTTACTATGGAAAGACACTCACTCTCCACAAGGACAAGGAACTTCTAGTAGGCGACGGTGACAAAGCAACTTCGGAAGATTCGATAGCTTCAGCAAACGTGGTAGCCGTGCCAGTCGGGGCTGCATTTGCAATTGGTGTGGCCAGTTGCACATTTGGAGCGCTCGCTTGCTTCTGGCGATCACGGCAAAAGATCCGGAAGTATAAATACCTGCACTCTTTCAAAAATATATGATCATTATGGACGCGATGGACCTATTCTAACTGATTTAAAAGAGCTGATAAACTCACAAAAGAAAAAGAAATACAAGAGGGAGTTATAACAAGTTTGTATTTGTGGGAGATTGGGATTGCTTATTATTTTCTGTGCACGAATGTTTTCAATTTTTCACTTTTCAGGACTAAGGAAAGCTGGAAAGATTACAACAGGGCTAATACACTGGCTGTAAAGTAAGGTTCAAGAAACTAATGCCCAGAGTACAAAGCAAGAGATTGTAAGTTTTATTGAACTTGCAGCACAAGATACTCTTACATATATTTTTCATTGGAAAATTCTATCCAAAATGGACCACACGGATTTACTCCTGATTTTGTAGCTTGGACGAAACTATAACAGAATTTTTCGTGGCGTGATTTTATCATATGGATTGAGCTTCTAAGTTTAGTAAAAGCACAGTAATGCAAGTCTTGCAAGTTACTTTTTATCCGTAATTATGAGCTTCTCATTGTGAATTTGTGATAGTGTAATACTTGCCACTCTGGGCAAGCAAAGTTGTGCAATGAGTCAATCCGTTCACGACTCGTTTTTCGCAATAAGAAAAGCCATTAATCATTTCATTTTGCAGCTCACAATAACATGCAAGAAAGAAGAATGTACATATAAAGCTAAAAACTAGTTTACATTCCTTGTAAAAACACTATACAGACAGGATCAATGGAACATACAATAACAGTTCCAACTGGTTCACCTAAAACCTCTAACAAGCTAGAATCTTCAACACTTTCAATAACTTTCTTTTTCTTTTCCTCTCGATTTCGAGGACCACTGTATGTGATCTCAATTTTGATGTACATTGTCACTTCTGTCATTCCAAACTATTCACAATTTGAAGTATTGTTGTATGGTAACAATATGAGGTCGATAGTGCAGACACCCCGGGATGGTTACCAAACCCCGACACCATTGTAAAGAACACACTAGTGTTTGCAGACACCCCGGGATGGTTATCAAGAACCCCGACACCTTTGTAAAGAACACACTAGTACTAGCCAGCTTCTTCATCAGAGGGAGGAGTGTATTGATTAGCCTGTTCACGCGAAAAAGAACAGATATGAACACAAAAGTAAATGCAGAGACAACTTTGATGATAACCAGGTTCTTCATCAGAGCGAGAAATGTATTAATTAGCCTTTTCGTGCAGAATGCATCTATATAAATGCAAAGTAAACAGAGATACTTTGTCCGGAGAAAAAAAAAAAAAAGGCGGCAATAACATCACCTGTTGCTGTCTGCGGTGTAGGAAAGAAGTCACGGCTTTGAATATAAAGTAGATAGGAAAAACCACCCCGGCAATTCTTAGGAGTAGCAACTGTCATAAGAATGAGGAATAAGAATATAATCCACCGGTATACTATAGTGAGGATAGCAACCTTTCACCTTTTGTTAACCCGAGTTTTAAGTTTAGTACCTCACCATGATTAAGGGGAACGGATAATCCCATTCTTGAACACTGATGATTGGAAGAGTGTGACGGAGAATTATAAGAACCATGAACTGCATGTAAGAGGAGATGGCTAAGATAAACTAAATATGATGCTTAATTGTGTGTGAATGGTCATTAGAGAGAGAGAGAGAGATTACTATTATGGCGATAGAACGAAAACACATAACATTTGAACTTGATGTAGAAACTGCATAATCATCATCGGAAGAATCAACGAAATTCCGATCAGCTGAAACAACTGCAGTGAGATGAGCATAATTCAAGTCCCTTCTGGCAATTCCCCAATTTCCCCTGATAGGAAAATCACATGCATACATCAACTGTTCTAATTCTCAATACAGAAAATTAGTAAGATGCATTTTTTATGGTACATGGAAGAATAAGATGAACGAAATACCTAAAGTTCATTGGAATTCCCCCGAGACGAAAAATTGGGGGTGGCGCTGTATACCCAGGCGTGAAAGGCTGCAGTCCAAAGAAACCCGAGTTTAGAAACTAACGCAAAGTGCAACAACTTATGTACTTTTTCACTGGATTTAGAGTTAATAAAAGATCTCAAGAACCGACTCCTAGGCCAATGCTTTAACTACTACATTATTTAGAGTTAAAACTAATACATTCAGATCGGTAATTGCTCTAATCAAAAGAAAATACAGAACTAAAAGCGTAGCTTACCTGGTTGCATATCTCGCATAAAGTGTCACCCTTCTCGTTACACCACCTTTGCACGCATTTCCTATGTGCATACTGAAAGCATAACAGGTAAAAGCATAATCCGTTACCATCTCCATAATTGATATTGAAGCCAGTATAAGACGCAAACACCCCTTAGCTAAGCATCAATTGAAAAAGAAACTAGAATAACAAAAGTCATCGAATGCCACAAACCTTCAAACTACCACAGCAATAGCAGGGGGTCTCCATATTCGAGTCGAAATCTTCATCCTGGCATATCCTGCACTCAACAATCTTCTTCAGAGACGAAACGGCCTCAGAGTCCTTAGAAGAGCAATCTATTGCCATATCCTCAACGGTTAACTGTTTCTGATTCCTGCTCTCTATTGCAGCCTCCAAAGTCGATTCGGTGAGCAAACGGTCAACCAGAAAAACAAAATGATCTCCCATCCTAAGATAGCTGCTATTCTTAGAAGCAATAAAGTTAATACAACCAATAATGTCTCATACAACCCCTCCTTGATTTTTCCTGAAATCGCAACCCATCACACAGTTACATACAATCCTCAGGAAGACAACTAGCAAAATCATATTTTTCTGCACCTACAAGCTTCAAGTACTAAATTACCTTAAAAAAAAACAAATTAATAAAAGCAAAACAAATTAACAATTGTCATGTGAAAAATATTTTGTTTCTCATTTTAGAGAGAAAAGCATTGATACATACAGCCCTATAAAACAAGCACAAACATTTCTGATTCTGATACAAGGAACCAAGCACAATAAAGGCAAGAAAACTTGTTATGAAACGACAAAATAAAGGCATCTTCTGAAGAAACTTCCCAACTAAACCAAAAGAACACACAACAATCAAAGTACATGACGAAATCCAATTCAGTAATCACAAGAGCAAGATAAAAAGAACCCACCTCAAGATTAGCAAAGGCGAAATGAGAGGGACAAAAAGCGGTCTTTTGAAGAATGGGCAGAAAGTTGGGTAAAAGAAAGGGGAAAGTAAGGAGGGGAATGAAGCAAACCCAGATGCCAAAAAGCGATCTTTAGAATGAATACAAAGCTATTAAGGTCTGGGAATTTAAGAGGATATAGGCATGAAGAAAAGAAAAGAGAAACTTGCAAGAAAGGGAGCTGATATGTGATATCTTAAAGCTAAGAAAGCTCTTGCATCTATCTATAATCTATCCCTCTGTGTTGAGAGAAATCTGGGTTTTGGAAAGAAGCAAGAGATTGGAGAGTGTCGCTGTTATTGGGCGTCAATTCGCACGAGATTCATGTACATATAAAAGAGAATGTGTGCGTTCTTGATTAGTGGATTATGTTTGATGTCTATAACTGATCCGCTACATCTTCTTAGGTGTCGTGCCTTTCAACGTGTCTCCACTACAAAGGAAATCTTTGTTAAGTACAATTTGCAAGAATATTTTTTTAAATTATTGCCAAAAGACGAAATTCTCCCGCCTCAGACCCAGCACTACGGTGAATTGCGACAAATTATATCATGGAGTAGGGTTCAACTTATATTGTGAATTCTGGTCCAATATAATATTGATGTTATGTGTCTACTGTTGATATATTACACATAATATGTGTCTTCAATTTATTTATAGACACATAACTTATTAACTGAAAACATATAATATGTTAAACTATAAACACATAATTTTTGCACCAGTTAACAATAGGTACATAGTTTTTTTACCAGGGTCCACAATAGAAGGTGGATTTTAGTTCATGGTATAACAATTGATGAATGATTTGTTGTCTTGTATCCTTACTCACAATCTATCACTTGAGAACCAACTGAGCTATTTGTACGAATTTAAAATTTTAATTATTCATTTACATATGGGACTTGGGAGCACAAAGCAACACTTACATAAATTTAAGTCACCCAATTTCAATAGTATTTGTAAAAAACAACTACTGCTTGAGGTCTCTTGGGCAATCTTCAAGCAAATGCACCCTACAGTTTGAATGCTTGTATTGCGAGGTTAACCATTTTGCACAAAAATTAGTCTCGTGATGAATATACACGTTTCACCATATAACTTTAATTATAACGTAACGTTTTTTAATGACCTCAATAAAGTAGTGATGCGGTTCCCAAACAAATTAAACGTTGTTATTTTTGAAAATCTTGAAAACAAGCATTTACATTATTGAATTTTGTTCGGTTTTTGAGTTAAATATTGGTGATGGGGAGAAGAGAGTGTGAGGAGAGATAAAATTTGAGAATGTCTTACAAGGAATATAATGTTTTTTTGTGAACCCACAGAAGAGAGAAAATGAAGAAAAGATGTTTACTTTTTGCGCGTTGAGCACATATCCAGTCAGGCGTGTGCAGTGTATGCGCCGGCATGTCAAGATATTTGTTTTTTTTTTTTCATCTTTTTTCTCTCCTTCCTAAGACACCTTAAAAACCAAAAATAAAAAAATAAAAAAAAATCAATACTAATAAGTATGTCTTTATAGCAAATCGTTATCTAGTTCAACATTTTAAATTGCAATAAATTGTTCAAAGTTTCGCGGAATAAAGACTCGAAGGATAAAACTTTTATTCCGCTTGGTAGCTTTGTTTTGCCATAATTTATGTGGTTTAACACCCCACCCCACCCCCCAAAAAAAGGCATATTGAGTTTAGTGGTAAATTTGGTTTTGATTTATTTTAATTCAAAAAGTTATTGACAAAGATTCATTTTACACTTGTACTCTGACTCATAGTTTACTATATTCAACTTTCATCATGACTATAGAATGTGATGGCAGTAAAAATTGACATAAGTGCATCATGCATGCATGCCTAAATAACCATTTATTGGAATCGGCCCTAATATTATTTGACAAATGCATCATATACTCACTAATTCTCTATACAGCAAATTCCACATTTAGTTTTTAATTATTGTGACGGATGAATACTTAATATAGACACTCAATCGGTACCACCTAACAGGCAATCGAATATAGCACTCAAACTCAACAGTAAGCACTTGAGATATGATCAGTTAGCCTGACTCCCTGATTAACCTTTTATAACATTTCCATCTCATTAATTAAACTCCATTAGCCATCAATTAATTACCCATTATTTCTCATTTATCACCCATTAAATCCCATTATTACCATATTAATTACCCATGAGTACCCCCACTCACCATTTACTATCCTTCTAGTATAAAAAGAGGGGAGAAACAAGAAGAGAAGGGGTGGATCCACATCTATCTATACTAGAAAACATGCGGTGATATATGTACAAAATCTCTTATAAAATAGTGAATTTCTAACTCGGCACCGTTCATAAAGGTTCGTAATTTTTACCTTTCGATTTCCATATTAAAATTATCATGTCTCGTTTATTTTGTCTGCTTATTTCTATTTTACTAACTACTCGAACTAGTTATGTTGGCTCGCCGAGTGACCCCCTAGGTCACGAAACCAACAATGACAATGCCACATTTAGTCATACTTCTTAAATTTTGTTTCATTATATTATCAACTTTTATTTGATTATCACAATTAATCTTCCATTTAAATTTTTATCATCCAATGTTTAAATATGTAATTTAACCATTTAGGTGTCTCACAACAAAATGTAATTTTCTCCCGTCGTAAATTCTTTTTATTAAATGATAAAAATACATTTAGCATTCTTTATTAAATTGTGAAAAGATAAAATTTAAATGGACTAATTGTAACAAACAAATGAACGTTAGTGATATAATGATGAAAAAATTAAAAGAATAAGACTAAATATGACATTATTATAATAATGTCCATGACTAAAATTGAAGTCTGTTCTTTTATATAACAAAAAAAAAAAAAAAGAGTAATATTTATACAAATTATAGACTAATTATTTCATTCTGTGATCTTTATTTTCTTCTAGGAAATGACTCTTTTTCTTTTGTTTCTACTTTCTGCTATCTTTGGTACTTTTAATTACGTGATGGAAAAAAAAAAGGAATAATCTTATCTTATCTTACTCTATATAATAGCAAAATGTTTTTTGCCAATTCAATTTCCCGCCTAAATGAAATTGCATCATTTTAAGGTATTAAATACAAATTAAATGAAATTGCATCATTTTAAGGTATATAATGCAGCATACTTATCTATTTTCAATACATATTAATCTACAATTATTGTTATTTAATGATGAAGCAGGTAATACATTCCAGTATTTGTAAGTTAACATTTTATTATATAAATTAATTGATTGTTTACTGAAAAAAAAATTATAGTATTCGATTTTAAAAAATAAGATTAACCTGTTTTTTTTTATTTTTACAATTTTGTTGATCGATAAAAATTTAATTGTTCATTCTAATATAGTTTTGAGAGGAAATTTTTTTTTTTAAAAAAAAAAAGTTACTAAATCAGTTACTAAATTGAAAAAAAGATTTTTAAAATTTAAATCAGTTGCATGAACAATAATATTGGAGAGACGAATAAGTTTAAACAAATAATTATTGAACTGATATTAAGTAATTAGAAAATAGGGTGAATCAATGATTTGGTCCCTCAGTTATTTGCGACTTGTCAATGTAGCCCCTCAATCGCGTATTCATTGATTTGGTCCCCGGAAATAATTGTTTTTCGTCAATTTAGTCCCGATGGCCGTATTCCGTCAAGACTCAGGCGAGAGCTCCGATTTGCCCTGGGCATTTTGGTCTTTTCATGTATTTAGTCTCTTAGTCTCTTAGCCTCTTCTTACCAGCATCAGGAACCACCGCCAACGCTCCAGCTGTCGGTGATTATGGTGCGCCTCAATCCATCGCCAACAAGCATGATGTTCTTTGTCTCCTTCCCAACCTCAACATTTTCCCAGAAAACGCCACACTTTATATGGATGACAAACCATCCACTGCCACGCCGCCGCCTCATAGCAGCGGCAACAAGAACGGCCTTGACGGTCTTGAAGTCGCCAGAGCCGTCCCGAGCTACCACTAGGTTCGGCCTGACGGCGGAGCCGTCCTGGAGCAGTTTCCGGTCACCGGGCGAAACCACGTCGGAAAACCATCCTCGTAGGTAGTTTCCCTGGGAGCAGAGGCATTGTTAATGAGAGCCAAAGTGTTAGAAATCAAGTGCGTGTCATTATCGTCGGAAATGGTGGGGAAAATGGCACCATATATTCATCTAACACACCTAGCTCCGCGAACTCGGTTCGGCAAGTCTCGAGGTTTGTCACGGCGGCGCTCAGGCAAGGTGGTCTCGAGGTAGAGTTTCGACAACTGCAAACGCAGTGGCTCCGGGAATGTCGTGAACTCTTTTGGCCCGAATTGCGTGGCGCTAGGTTATGCTGTGACTAACCGCCGATTTCTCGGAATCGGGAGCGCAAACGAGGATGTTGAAGTGATTAGTGGAGACGAGGACGCTAACTAGAGCTCTCAACCCAGGAGCATCCACTCCGTTGTCGTTGGTCACCATCACAGTCGGCAGATTTTGGGAGTAGTAAACGCCGTTGTTCTCCATGGCAGCTGGGAAAACGATATGATCTTCAAAGTATTGTGGAATTCAGAGTGTAATATCAGTTCTTGGGTGGTTATACGGAGGTGAGCTCATTTCGACGAGTAGAGAAGAGATGGAGCTCCCTCCGGCGAGCTTGAGCTTCTCCAGCGAAGCTTGGTTAGAGTTAATGAAGAAGAAGGCATGAAAAGACCAAAATGTCCAGGGCAAATCGGAGCTCTCACCTGAGTCTTGACGGAATACGGTCATAGGGACTAAATTGACGAAAAACAATTATTTTCGGGGACCAAATCGATGAATACGCGATTGAGGGGCTACATTGACAAGTCGCAAATAACTGAGGGACCAAATCGTTGATTCACCCTAGAAAATATGATGTATTTCTTAATTTCGTTTTAAACAATAAGTTTTACCTAAAGATGATACTGTATTTATTAGTTTGTTTTAGATCTGCTCCGGTCACTCGATTTTTCAGATCGACATTTGGGGAAGAAAGCAATTCCACAACGGCCAAAAGCTACGGTCAGATTATCTGAAAAGTTTTTTAGCAGTGGATTACTTGGACGTGCGATGATTTAAAATCGAGTGTGTCAAGACGTCGGAAACAGATAAGGTTCGCGTAAGTCAATGAACATTTTAGAGAGAATGACGAACGCAACAGAGTAGACGGAAGCGAAATCGTCAAAAAATATAGATTAGGGTTTGGTAATCAAGTTTTATAATTGGGTTAATGGGCTCGGGTATTGGGCTGAAATGCAACGTAACTGGATTATATAGATAAATAATTAAATGTTTATTGGGCTTAGCATTGCAGGTTTTATTTTTTCTTTCATGTCATGAAATATTTCATATTTAGTTTAGATTTATATATGTTGTTCGTATATAATTATTATAATTATTAAGCAATGTTTAAGAAAAGATTTTCGTAGTTAGTTTCAATGTATGATGATGATACTGTATTTTTTATTTATATATTGTCAAGTATATGTACTATAGGCTTTAATTGCAAATCATATTAATAAATGTTTTTATATATAAGAAAATTTAATTTCATAATTTTTTATTGTATATTGTTTGATTTCCTAATTTTTAAATTTTCTTTTTATAAAAATGTGTGTGTGTGTGTCTATATATATATATATATATATATATATATATATATATATATATATATATATATATATATATATAATTATTTTAATGTACACTTTTTAAATCTCATGTGGTATGTTATAACACAATTCTTTATAATATATGTTAACAGTATGTGATGTTCGATATAACAACCAATTTAGTATTGTTAAAGAAAAATACATTTCAGAATAAGTTTTAATTTCATGATTAATATTTTACTTTATTATTTTTAAAATATTATCAATAATAAAGTTACTTAAATTTTATGCCGTGCATCGCACGGGGCAAAAACTAGTTATTATTTATTCTAAAATGGTTTGAAAATGATATGATATGCATCACATTTTTGTCTTTCATTTTCAGAGATGGGTCCTTTGACCACTTAATTAAAAAATCTACTCCTTTACGTCTCGTCTTCTCCCCATTCAATTCATTACTTAATTGGCTAACAATAATTTTTATTGTAAATATTTTACGTTATTTCTGCCCCAAATATTATAGTACATGTTTTCCAAGGACAAATATTAGATGCATAAAAATTTTGGTATATAATTTAATTTTATGTACGTCGGTATGTTTCTATTTGGTTGATTTTTTGTTAAGTTCACCGATATATAAGTATCAATTTGATATCATGATTTTTGAAACCATATCTTAAAATGTGTAAATTTGTATGAAAATTTATAGATTAGTTTTTTTTTTTTTAAAGACAATTTATACATTAGTTATATTTTTAAAAAAGTTTTACTAGACAAGGCAATTTATATCATGGATCAGGATTCACATAACATTATGGACCTTGAATCGAAACGACGAGGTACATAATTCATATTCGTAAGGTACATAATTTCATAATACAAGACACAAAAAATTACTACACAAAAAACATACACATGTTATATATTTACTTATTTTTCAAATCTAATTTAGGTACATAACTTGTGTTTATAGACACAAAATTTTACAATACAAGACAAAAATTTATAACATAAGACACAATTATTAATTTATTTTATGTACAAAATCCATACTGTTAAGTAGAAACAAATAATCTTGCCTAAGGAGGTATCATTTGATTTCCTATAGTCAAAGTAAGGGCACCCCATAATTTAAATGCAGCCAATAATTTGGTGTCTCTCTAGATGGCATTCTTTTTAGCATGAGAAATTCAGAAATATCAATAAATTTTTTAAGAGACGAGACATATACAAGTGTAATTGTTGATATGTAGTATACGTGTATTTAAAATTAGGTTTTTTAAAAGTATATTGTACAACAACTATAAGTGTAATTGTTAATATGTAAAGGCACATTCTATCATTATGGCATTACATACCAACGGTTACACTTGTAGTTGTTATATGATACATTTTAATTTTAATTTAAAATATTTATCAAAATGTTATTGTGTTTTCCTTATTTTACCACCGTTAATCGTCCCAAATCAACAACTAGAATTGATCCGCGGTTCTTATCTAACATTTGGTTCTCATGTAATTCTAATTATATATATAATGCATACTAATGCTAGCAATTGATCGGGGATGATAAACGGCTCGAAAATAAAGGGGAAAATTAAAGAAAAAATGCAATGAGAATTTTGTAAATATTACAAACTTTGAACATGCATGTATGACTATATTTCAGTTTGAACTTAATCGAACACTATAGAAACCAAGCCAACCGAAATCGTACAGACAGTTCTGGTTATGGTTCATAACCGAAACTCAAAAGGTCTCAGTTCGAAACCTGCCAGTTCTGATGCTAAATCGAAAAAAATAGAAAAGTTATATTTGACAACAGAATTTTATTTTATTTTAAAAGAAGAAGTTCAAATTGGTGGTTTAAAGCGGAACCGCCAGCTCCAATTTATTATTTATCGGAACCGTAAACTGACAATCCGGAACCAGTACCAAAACACGATCATCCTTATGTACACTAAACAAAGTTTCAAAGTGCATATGGTGATATATAAGTATATATGTATATATATAATCATGAACTCAAGATCTTGCCCGTCACCAACTAACCCAATGAATAAATGAAATGAGAGCTCTCCAAAGAGAAAATAAAAGATTACTAGATATATTAAATTAAAAATATTTAGGAAAGCTGGGTTGGTTATTGCATTTGGTTTCTAATTAAACGTCTCCCTAACTTAAATTGTCCCCCCAAAAAACAATTAAATTAAACATTTTTTTTTCTTAAAGAGTAATGGTAATTATACTAATTTTTATTAAATATTGTACCATTTGAAATGAATGATCTCACTTAGCTTGAATAACTTGGGATGAAAATCGGTTGGCTTATAAATAAATAATAATAAATATAGATAGTATATGCTGCATTATTTGACTCAATTGTGTGTGGTGTAAGTGAGAACTAAATAGAATGATGGTTTTGGTAGGAAAATGCGTGTGGGCAGATGACTCCAAAATCCTCAACTTTTTATGTATTAGAGGGAAGAAATTGAATTCACTCCAGGATATTAAATTCCTTTTTTAATTGACTCTATGAGGGATGAATATTTTTGCATTTCAAATATATGTTTATGTTTTAAAAAATTAATACGTTTTCATTTCAGGGCCAGTTCTGAGCATGTTTAACATGTGCGACCGCACAGAGCCCCCAATTTTTGGGGGCTCCATATTTAAAAATAAAAAATAAAAAATTATGTATATATAGTATACATGATTTCAGGCTAAGTGCAAGAAGATTGGACCAATTTGTGATAAGGTGAAATTGTGCCCAATTGATAATTTCTTTAAAAACCCCAAGAAAAAGTGTGTGTGTGTGTGTGTGTATATATATATATATATATATATATATATATATATATATATATATATATATATATATATATATCCTAATCCCTTGATTTCCTTCCCTACTTTTGGCGGTTTCTAATTCCTAAATCTCAATTGACAAGTACCATTGTTAATTAAGAATGTCAATTTCCAATTCAAAATCTCAAATAACAATTACGGCTAATTAGCAATTACCATTATTTTTATTTTTTAATTCAATTCCCAAATATTAATTAGCATGCAGCTCTTAAGAGAGATGAACAGTGTGGTGATATTGATGGGAATGAATTGTATATTGAGTTAAAATTACTTATAGATATTTTATCGAAAGAAAAGATAGGGGTAGTGAGTATATTGAAGTAATTGAAACAGATGGTTTGTTTTCCAAATGCTACTATTGCATATCGAATATTATTGTTGCCTCTGCAGAAATGAGTTTTTGAAAGTTGAAATTTTTGAAATCTTAATTACGATCAAGTGTATTGCAAGAGACTTAATGGAATAGCTTTAATCTCCATTGAAAATGAGCTTTTGGAAGGAATTGATATCAAAAGTTTGGTAAATGATTTTGCGTATAAATGTGCACGACACATGTCACTTGTTAAATGAAATTTTAAATGTTTTTTTTTTTGTACAATATTTATATTTTGATACAACTTTTTGAACAACTATTATTTATATATAGAAATTACTTGAAAAAAAGGGTCCCAAATTAAGATATTGCACAGGGCCCCAATTTTTATTGGAATGGCCCTGCTAGCGGTGGTCGAGTCAGCCACTAAATACAGTGGTGTCAATACTATATTAAAATAATATTTTTCTTTTGCTCATAATTCTCTTATGAATTCTCAAGATTTGACAAAATGTGTAGAAAAATATCGTAACTTCAAAATAAAAAGCGATGCATAAATATTGATGGGGATTTTCTCCCCGAGTCTAGGCTATACGGTGATCGATCTTGGGTCTTTCGTGCCAGCGGATCACGACCCGACCAAACCCGAGCTCCTCACCGTCTCTTCCCGACCTTGTGGCTCACTACGCACCTCTACTAGCAAACCTGCGGGTCTCCTGGCGAGCGCCGTGCGCCCGACCTTATTGGGTCGGGGCCAAAATACCGATCTAGACTCAACAGCGGGGCATGTACCTTCATAAACACTACTGCACGTGTTCGTAACTCCTTCAACTCCGGCCTGAACCTGTGCATGGACTCCCGTGCCCTCTATGCCGAGAGCCCGGAACCTGCCCCATTAGTTTAGCTATAAATACCGTATTTATTACAGAGAGGGAGACTTTGGGCATTTATTAGGAAGTGATCTTTAGCTCGGGAACCTCTAAGTCTCTAGTCCACTGTCAAGTAATCCGAACCTAAAAACTAACCAACAAGCAGACTAGGCATAGGAACCAAGCCCAAAACCGACCTAGTTAGTACCATACACCGTAGAGTAGACACGTCGTATATCACACATCAAATGTAATAATATTTATTAACTAATTTTTTAAAATACCTTTTAAAAACTTTCTATAATTATTACTCCGTATTATGTTGGACAAAAATTATTACTTAGGCAATATATTAAATATAACATCTTAAATCTGAGCTGAGTGTCACATTATGATAATATATATGACACAGAGACAGTAATTAATTAAGGTTGTTTGTTGATATGAATTAAAAAAAAAAAAATTGTATTACCATATGTTTTCTCAATGAGAATACATTAAAATTCCATACACCATGACTAACAAGACCACAAACTTTATTAATATTATTATTATTTTTTCTTCTTCTTCTTAATTACCCTTCCTTCTGACCGGCATGATGCAGACCAGCAAAGTAGGCCTTAGGGTTACTTTCAAAAGCATCCCTGGGAATTTGCTCTCCTCCTCCGCCGGGAGCAACCATCATTCCGGGCCCACGCTCACCTCCGCCACTCCCCTTGGAGGAGATGCCACTGCCGCCGCCGCCTCCACCACCACCACCACCTTTGGCTCCTGCACCAGAATGATACCATCAGTTTCTAGGCTCACCAAAATTTGTTCACCAATTAAAGCTAATCAATTATATACTGCAAATTCCAAAGTTGCATGAATGCATGCAGTTTATTATCCAATAAAGGTCACTTGAATTTCGTACCATAACAGATATATACCAACTCAAAGAGGTTTGCTCATTTCAAATGTCACTATTAAATTATTATTGAAAAGCTCCACCAATCCAAAGGGATCATCATCATCAGGCCGGGTGGAGTATGAGGAACGCATGAAGGAGATATATAAGAGCTCAAATCTCTGAACTTAAAGTGAGGTAGCGTGCAAGTTCTGGGCAAGATGCTGCCGCCATGAAACGACGCGAAATGGAATGTGTTATGTGCTTGAGTGTGGATAAAACAGTAGTTTTCCTCTTCCCAAAGCTAAGCCCGAAAGCCATGACAACAAGAAGCTAGGTTAAGTTGATAATGGCATGCAATTCAAGAAATGCAAGATCGAGTTCGATCTAGTGCTTCATTGGCTGCATGCTCAGCATTCCGGAATTTTAATTATTTTCGATGGTTGCATGCAATTTCTTTATAATATTTTCATGTTTTGGTATTTCCTTTTCTGCCCTATTATATTATATTGTTATTTATTCTGTGATAAAATAATGTTGTTTTCTTTCGTGCGTGTTTTATTTCCAAATTTACAGATCTTCTTTTATTTAAAAGTAGTTTAAAATTTTTGATGTTTTTTTTCTAATGTTTTAAAAAAAAAAATACTAACCCCCCATAGTCAACTCATAAAGGTTTATAAAATTTAGGAGTTGATGTGGAAGGATAAAATGGGTGCCAGGACCCACCGGAGAAGTACGGGTGGAAGGGCCTACGTTAACGCCTAGTCTAACTTGGATTTTCCCCTCCTTTATATCTAATCCAAAAAAAAAAAAAAAAAAAAAAAGGTTTATAAAATTTCTAATCGACCGCAAGTAACATAATCTAACCCTCATGGTCCTTTGTCAAAATAACACTATATCATAATTTATAGTTTTGGGAGGTGGTTTTAGGCGTGAAAATGCTACTTTCTCATTTGGGCAAAGCATTTTGTTTTTAATTTTATGTATGTATATATGTTGGACAAAAATAAGAATATATTACTTAAGCAATATATTAAATATAACATCTTAAATTGGAGTGTCAAGTCAAACATAAAAATATATATGACACACAGAGTAATTAATTAAGGTTGTTTGTTGATATAAGAAATAAATTTGTGTATTACCATATGTTTTTCTCAATGAGAATACATCAAAATTTCATACACCATGACTAGTCATCATCTTCTAAGTCCAACAAGACATCCAACTTTATTAATAATAATAATATTTTTATTTTTATTTCTTCTTCTTGATAATTAGCCTTCCTTCTTCTGAGCGGCATGCAGATCAGCAAAGTAGTCCTTAATTAGGATTAGCTTCAAAAGCGTCCCTGGGAATTTGCTCTCCTTTTCCGCCGGGAGCAACCATCATTCCCGGCCCACGCTCACCTCCGCCGGGAGCAACCGCCGTAGCTGGCCCACTGGCGCCCCCGCCGCAACCTTTGGCTCCTCCACCAGAAGTGGCTCCGCCCTTGAAACCACCTTTAGCCCCTCCTCCTCCGCAACAGCCACCTTCTTTTCCATCACCGCCTCGCTCCCATCCTCAAACTAAGCTAGTGAATATTTTAGGATGCTCTTCAGTTGTTAGTGAGAATGGGTGTGCATTTATGTTATATATATATATATATATATAGATGTGTTAAGTGGCATATAATTAATGAAAGCATGCGTGTATTTTGAGGGGAACGCTTTGGTTTCTGAAGCAAATGGCCCATTACGTCGTTCAAATGTTTTGCTTTTCTTAAAATGGAAATTCTATTCACACCCCCCTTTTTACTATTTGCACCACTTACATAATAGGTCAAACTACTTTATAGGTGATGCTAACTACAAAATGCTATTTACACCATATTATTTAATGTGATCAAAAAACTAATATTTATTTTATATTTTTTTTACAATTAAATTATTAAAAAAAAAAAAAAAAACTTAGCGTCACCTTCTCCGGTGAGAAGGCAACTAGGCTGCCTTCTCATCGGAGAAGGCGACCCAGGTAGTTGGGTAGAAACTACCTGGGTTGCCTTCTCCGGTGAGAAGGCAACCCACCACCCACATATCATTCATGAAAATGGGTTCAAGAGCTCTCTTCTTCTTAGCCATAATCCTCTTCTTCTCAGCTCTCTCTGCCATAGCAGAAGACAGCCATGAGACTTCTGGGCTTGCTATGAACTACTACAAAGAATTTTTAGTATAATCAATTGTCTTGATTTTGTGTTCTTGTATTTTTAAAATCTTTATTTCCATTATTGGATCATACATATATAACCAAACAACATTATTGATAATATTCACATTCCACCCTACTACCAAAGATACAAAATACTTTCACTAAAACTCATCATTATCATTACCAAGTATTTGATACCCATTCCGATTACGATTCCCATGTGCGAACTAAACACACCCTTATTTTTTTCAAAATAATTTATAATTTTTGGAATTTTTAAATTTATATATGTTAAAGGTTTTATGTTACCATTTGATTTAGAGAAACAGATAAACATGAGAGTCTGATGTTGTAAGTGTTTTATACAAAGTTTAGTTGGTTTTTAATGTTCTTGATCTTTAATTACTTGCGTATGCAAGGGCACCAAAATAGTTATTATCAAATTCTAGAGTCATGTTTTAGATTCAAAGATCCTAAGTGGTAGGATTGCAATACAAAGTGTTGATTTCAATGAGTATTGGAACTGGTACAATTCTTGGAATTATGGTTGTAATAATTTGACAAGTGGAGCCTTTAAAAAAATGTCTACAAACTTTACATATTTACATCAACAAAAACTCGTATGAATCTATGTCATGAATCCTTATCCGTGAAATGGATGAATTCAAGATCAAATGTAATATTTATATTAAAATGTAATATTAATAAATATGTGAAAATGTTATTTAATTTTATTTTATATATACTATAGTTTCATTAAATTAAACACAACTACATTATCATTTCAATATAACTATAGTTTCATTTCACAATATACACTCAAATATGTGAAATGTTATTCAGTTTCATTTTATATACGCTGCATTTTCATTTCAACACAACTACAGTTTTATTTCAATTCAATTGCAATTTCATTTGATAATATAAAAATAATACGTGAGGTAGTGTCGTTTTAGATATACTGTAGTGTCAGTTTAGATACATTGTAGCTTCAGTTGAAAATTAATACACTATGCGCGCTCAGTTAACTGTGACGGCGAACCGTTTCTTTAAGTAAAGAAACGATGACATTTTTGGACCGCGTGGCATAGTATAATTGCTGAAAATTGACATGATAAATGTTACAAATTTATTTAAAGCTATTGGGCTTACGTTATTTGTTGTAAATTGGATCGATTATATAATGGTCGCAAATTTAATCAATAGTTATGCTCTAGAAATGTGTTCATCATGCGCATGGTGAACACAGAATATATCCATAATTTCTAAGTTGTAGATTCATAATTTCTATACTGTACATTCATAACATTTATATAGTAGATTCATAATTTCTATAGTGTAGATTTATAATTTCTGTACTGTAGATTTATAATATTTGTACTACGAAGACAAAATAATGTGATTGCGAAGAGAGAAACGTCATTAACAACAAATGAAAAATAAAATTATGAATCTATAGCATAGAAATTATGAATCTACCCATGTGTTTACCATGCGCATGGTAAACACGTTTCCACAACATAATTTGCAAAATTTAATTGGGTCATATATGTTAAGGTGGACATTGTAAAAATTCGGACGAGTAATTTCTTCACGAGTGAATTCAATCCTATAATCTTATCTTCTTTGTTCGATAAATTATTAACTTTTAACAAAAATTAATGATTTTGATCAACACCTTGTCTCTTAAGCATAAGATTGAGGGTTTGATCTCCATCCATGTGAATGGAGCAAATCATTTGGCCAGTCCCCTACCAGTTAGTGTGCTGACAGTAGGGATGAGAAATTAGTTCTGACTATCGACCGGAAGAATACCTTTGAGTAATATAAAAAAAAAGAATTGATCTTGATTTGAAGAGTGAATTCAATCCTATAATATCAACTTCTTTGTTGGATAAATTGTTAACTTTTAACAAAAATTAATGAATTTACAAATACTCAATAAATATATATATATATTTAAGTTGTGATGTTAGTGTTAGTTAATGTGTATCTCCCTTTTTTTTAGCCAAAAGAACACATTTATTTTGCAAACGCAAGCTAAGCACACATTTATTTTACAAAAACATAGATAGATATACACCTACAGTCTCCATAGATATAGCCCAAACTTTATTTATTATTTCTTCTTCTCCTCCGTTAATTACCCTTCTGACCGGCATGCAGACCAGCAAAGTAGCCCTGAGGGTTACTTTCAAAACCACCTCTGGAAATATAGGCTCCTCCTCCACCGGGCGCCACCATCATACCTGACCCACGCGCCCCTCCGCCACCACCACTCCCCTTGGAGGAGCTGCCACCGCCACCTTTGGCTCCTCCACCAGAAGTGCCTCCGCCGCCCTTGCAACCGCCTCCACCAGAACCCCCACCTTTACCCCCTCCTCCTCCGCCGCCTCCACCTCCTTTTCCGCCGCCGCCCCCACCTCCTTTTCCACCGCCTCCCATTGTCAAACTAGTGAATATCTATCTGTTTTATGTTTCGTTAGAGATTTTAGGGTGCTCTTTAATTCCAAGTGAGGGAGGGGTATATATATAAGTGGCATATAATGTAAGCATGCATACGTGTATTTTGAGGGGGACGCTTTGGTTTCTGAAGCAAATGGCCCATTCTGTCCATGTCGCCAAGTGTTGCTGTCGTACATAGGCGTGCTAATGTGCTATCAGCCTATCACTGCTATGTATGCCAAAAGAAAGTACAATAATGGTTAAAAAGAAAAGTCTAGAGTAACATTTTTTATAGAGTTAATACCCAAAATGGTCCCTCGAGTGCCATAATTACCAATTTGGTCCTTAACTATTATTCTTACCCAATTAAGTCATCAACTATGTAACTTTTACTCAATTAAGTCCTCAACTATACAATTCTTACCCAATTTAGTCTATGTATTAATTTGACTGTTTGTTGACTGTCAAAAGTCGGGATAAAATTATAATTTTACAAGATTTCTTCTTCCTCTCCATTTAGCAGCGCCAAACCATGCAGCAATACACTCCGATCAGATTTCGATCGTCAAAAAATCGTTGGAAATCAAATTCATGGACTATCCGATGCATAACCACTACTTCGATACTGACAGGTTTAGAACCCAACCGGAGCTTATTGCTACATGGTTTGGCACTGCTAAATGAGGAGGAAGGAGAAAACTTGTAAAATTACAACTTTATTTCCACTTTTGACAGTCAACAAACAGTCAAATTGACAAAGGACTAAATTAGGTAAAAATTGTATAGTTGAAGACTTAATTGGGTAAGAATGATAGTCGAGGACCAAATTGGTAATTACGACATAGTCGATGGACTATTTTGGGTATTAACTCTTTTTTATAGTAAAATTCTACTTGATTAATACTCCGTATTACATATTTTTAAATAATTTTTGTTCTATTTTTTATTTTCTTGTTCAAAGTCTAATTCTAAAGGCCCCACACTCCGACCCGACAGAGCATGTGAGCGGATGCAAATCCCGGTGACTCAATGGTTTAGTAAATATGGCCAAATGCCGGTACGCACAAGGAATCTGCTATTTTTTATTTTCTGTTTACATAGTTAACTTTGATTCATCCTAGAAAATATGATCACAATTTTTATTTTTTCTTAAAAAGGTAAAATACGTACACCTCCAAACTTTATATGAGAAGTAATCAAATGGGTTCTCGAACTTTTGAAAATTGCATTTAAACGCATAAACATATCGATTTAGTGCATCAAGGTCTAAAACCAATTAATAACCTGTAATAATATCACTAGAGTTCCGACAGTTGTCCAGCAATGTTCTGGTTACTTCTGAGTGAAAACCGGCGACGGGCGACCAGTAGGTAGCCGGAGAAGGCACCTCCTGGTAGCTGGTTTTAACAGTTTAAAAATAATATAAATATATGTTAATTGACTAGATAGTTAGTTTTACCAAACACTTGTAACTATATAATCATAATGTATACAATCAACTATCATATTAGATGTCCCTCGGATGGTCTCTGTGCTCTCTCGATAGTTGATTGTGTTGGTGTTTCGAATTCTCGATTTATTATGTAAATTTTTTGTCTTATTTCTCAAGTATTAAAAAAATTTGAAAAAGAGAGTTTATAATCGTACCGACAAAATTCAAGCTAAAATGTATTACTGAAAAAAATAGTGTCATGACATTAAGAGTTTCTCTCACACACACACATATATAATGATTGGTTCAAATGAGAACATTTCCATGTAATAAGTAAGAATTGATCTTAGACGTATATTAACGTTTATCAATGATTATTAAGAGTACTAATAAACTAAAATGTATAATTAATACCATACTCGGGGAAAATTATACCATTGACCATAGCAACATTGTAAGGTGAAATAAATGTTTTTTTTAATACATTAGGTTTCCCAGTTTGCACTAAATTAACCTTAAGCCCCCATAACCCTTGTCCAAGAGCACTGGAGGAGGTAAATCGCACATGCCACTCCTGGCTATACACTTTGTGCACAAAGAATTATCATCACCTCTGAGCAATTTTTTTAGCTTTGGGTTTTCTAATGACCCGCCATGCCTTCAATTAGAATCCAATCTCCATCCTACCATCAGAGCAAGACTTCTAGGGTGACCAAGTATTGAGCTAAGCCCCTCGGGACAATTTATTAAATGTTTATTGTAATTTAAAAAAAAAATTGTATATTAAATGTGCATAGAATGTATTAAATGTTTATTTTTAGATAATAAATTAAAAATAAACATATATACTATAAATGAACCTTTAAAAATTGAATATATAATATTATAAATATTTTTCTCAAAAAAAAATACTATAATTTTTTTAATATATTAAAAATGAAGACATATATCACTAAGGCAAATTATATCGTGCACCGTAGTACATAATCGATTATGCACCGCGCATCAAAATGACGTCGTTTTGTTAAATGAAAAGAAACGGCATCCGTTTTCCGCCGTTCCGCACCCTTCCGCAAAAAAGTAACTCTGTTATTCAGTTTCATTTTGTATACACTGCAATTTCAGTTCAACACAACTACAGTTTCATTTCGATATAACTACACTTTCATTCAATATTTATAGACTCAAATATGTGAAATGTTATTTAATTTTATTTTATATACACTATAGTTTTATTAAAACACAACTACATGATCATTTTGATATAATTACAGCTTCATTGTACAATATACACTCAAATATGTGAAATATTATTCAGTTTCATTTTATATACACTGCAGTTTAATTTCACCACAACTACAGTATCATTTGATATAACTGCAGTTTCATTTGATAATATAAAAAATAATACGTGAGGCAGTATCGATTTAGATATACTGCAATATCAATTGTTATTTAATACACCAAACATGCAGACTCCATTAACAGTAACGGCAAGCCGTTTCTTTACTTAAAGAAACGGTGTCATTTTTTACCGCGGTGCACGTGCATCACAGTCTACGATATAATGAGTGTATCACTAACGAACCTATCTTATTCTTATGTGGAGTATGGTCTAGAGCATAAGTATTGACATAGTTGGTGTTCCAATTTTGGATAAGAATCAAATCTTCGGTCTCCAATTATTGGGCTTCATTTCCATTATTCCAACCCAATCACGAAAACCGGGCAAATTACACGGGTCTAAATTTATAATTTCTATATTGTAGCTTTATAATTTCTATATTGTAGATTCATAAAATTTGTACGCTAAATTTATAATTTTTAATGTTCATATATATTCTCAATTGTTAAACTTTGTATTCACAAATACATAACTATATGTTCATAGTTCATAATTTGATAACTATACAGTTTAGAAATTATGAATTTACAGTAAAGAAATTATGAATCTACAGTATATATATTATGAATCTGCAGTATAGAAATTATGAATTTACTGTATAAAATTATGAATCTACGATTTAAAAATTATGAATCTACAGTATATATTTTATGAATCTACAGTATAGAAATTATGAATCTAAACCCGTGTGCATCATGCATGGTGCACACGGTTGCACAGCATAACAAATCGAGACATATTTATCACATTCTCCACCAGTCAAAATATTTTTTAATAATTTTTTTTGTTATTCAATGTGATATTTCATTCTTAATTAATTATAGAATAAATTTCAATTTTAGTTATCAATTATTATAATATTATCACCAGAGAAGGCCAGAGGTTTTAGTTTTTTTTTAAAAAATAATTAATAGTTTGATTATTAAATAAATAATAAATAATAAATATTAATGTTTGACTATATTTAATGAAGGTGGTGCAATCCTGGTGAATTCTACTGATATAATGAAGTCAGCAAGTCTTGGATGAGCAATGAAGTCAATACAAATAATGTTTGGATCTCCTATAGCTACTACCATTGTTACTTGACTTGAATGGATCAAACGATCACAACCTTCTCGAAGCATGCATGGGGTCCTTTTTTGTTTATAAATATTATAGGAAAATTATAATTTATGCACTTAATATAAACATTTAAAATTCACGTTATCGTATAATTTTCTCTAATTAGTTTCAAATTAAATGTATAGAATGATTTAATATATTATGATTATTATTTCTTTTATAGATATTCGTATAATGTTTTTAGATAATTAGAATAATATTACTTCTTGTGGGAGTGCAATTATATAAAATATATAATTTGCATATAAAATATATATTTTGTATGATGATTTAATATAATTTGAGATATAAGTTATAATACCTTATATTTATTGATTATTTGTGAATTAATTGCCTCTAATTGAACAAATAAGTAGATGGTCAAAATGATATCATCTTTGATAGTCGATCTTACTGTGATTATACTTAATTTGTTGTGCAATACTCTAATTGAACTTTTTTCTCCTCAAAATTTCTACCAAAAATAAATAAATTAATAAATAAAACTTTATAAAGCATACAATTGAAAGTGAAATAGCTAGTCCAATTAACGTTTTTAGGAACACTAGTCATCGTCTTTGTCCTTAAAATAGGCCCCATGGACAACTTGTACAAGGGTCTTTGATTAAACAAGAAATGAGTTATACGGAGGTTGAGGTGGTGATGAAGACCCTTTAACAACAAGAGAGATGTATAAGTAGAAATAGATGTGCAATGGGCGTGCATCAAGGGTAATAAAGAATTTAATTACTTTGAGGATTCCACACACCCTTCAGAAGGGTAATAAATGTATTAACTTCTTGATCAATTTGGATCAATCTAATAATTAAAAGACGATCACACTTGAGCATTGTATCCATTATATTAATCATTCTTCACCAAGAATATTAAGAATTTAATTACTACTTCCAATTGCTTCAAAGGTTAAAACTTAATTAAAAGATGAGATTATAAATTGCTTTATTTTACTTTTTTTTTTTTTTTTTTTTTTTTACTTTATGATTAAATGAAAGATATGATTGGAAGTTTTAAAGTTTCCAATAATAAGTATGAGGTGAAGATTCACAAAGTTATGTCCTCTTTTTATGCAAATCATATATCTCAGCTTTAATTTAATTTGAATAACTTTAGGACTTGTGCCATACTGCAAAATTAAAGAAAATATGAAGTGGAAGAAAACTTCACAAAAAGATGTTGAAATAGTTATGCAATTTCTTCATCATTTTTCTATGTCCACACAAGTCACAAGCCCTCTTTGACTCACCCTGCCGTTACCAAAGTGGCAAAATTTATTTGACTTAGGTCGGTAGACAATGTCGTGAATAAAAAATTGCAATAATAATTCAGTTATCAAATTCTTTTTCAAAAAGCATTTATTAATTATATTCATTAGGTTATAATTTTAAGTATAATCATCATTAAGTAAGAATTTCGAATTTAAAAATTTTGTAAATAGAAAATTCTCAAAATGGTCATCCAACTATAGCCCTTTTTCAAGTTTTGAATTTAAATTTTGAGCGCAGTGTGAGGCGAGGAAACTCTAGATTTTACACAACAGCTTAAATACATTCAGTCGAAATCTTTATATAATGGAGTATATGAGCTGAATTTCTTATTTTGCCCTTTAATTTAACGCCAAGTTCACACCCAACTAACGGAGGATCAATTTGACTTAAAATCTAATAGTTAAAGGACTAATTTGAATTTAATTAAAAGTCATAAGACCAATTTAAGAAAAGACCATAGTCGGAAGACCATTTTGAGATTTCCTCTTTTGTAAATGAAGCATGCAATGTGACATGGAAAGCTCTTTAGACTAATGCTTAGCTTGACAGAAATTTGAGTTTGAAAAAAATTATTATCATATATTATACAAAAAGTATATTTATATGTGTACCTCATACTATAATGGAATTACATAGCATAAAATAAAATGTCAGATCACAAACATTAAATAATTAACTATCTAAACATACAATTATCACATAACCATTTATGAGCGATAAATTCATGCGACAATTGCGCATTTAATTTGCAGCTCAAAAAGCGGGAACTGATTCTTCCACGATTGTTTCCAACAATGGCCGCTTTGACCGAGACGACGATAATCTATACTTCAACTCCTGTTCTGCAAACCCTTCGAACGTCAAATCCAACTCCGACGACCGGTTGACCTCATTTTCCGGCGACACTCTCACAACGGGTATCCGTTTGGCGGTGGAGTCACGCGCCGCCGCGATCTCCAAGAGCACGGCCATGTCCGCCGCCGTGACCACCGAGTTGACCCGCCTCAACGGGAACATGACGTACGCATTCCCCATTTCCAAGTCTTCATCCGCCGACAACGCCGAGAAGCGCCGCCCCACATTCATGGACGTGGAGTTTATCAAGAAGTAGCCGGGGTGTTCGAGCATGAGCTCCGCCGCCTTCACCGGCTCCCAGAATTGCCGGATTCCGCCGCCCGGTAGGATCACCCTGACCGCCTTTGCGGTGGCGCACATTCTTGGAGTTAAACTAGTACAGCACGGAACGAGATTTCCCATACCCGCAAAAACTGAATCAATTAAAACTGGAATCCAATTCAAATCCTTCAAATTGTAGATTGTAGATCTAAATTAAAGAAGAAAACATTATATTGCTTTTGTAAAGAGAGAAAGTAAAAGAAGTATGGGCGTACGTGAAATGAATTATGGCGTGGATGGGGTGGTTAAGGATAGCAGTTATTTAGTGCTATATATATATACAACCTAAGTATAATAACAGCAAGTCCACGGTCGTCTATATAAACTTATGCCGTATGGGTCACTACTTACTACTTACCTCCAAATAATCCCTTCTTCATATACATGAGTATATATATGACTATTTCATTAAATTTTATTTGTATTTATAATTATTTCGTGGATTTCTTTTTCTAACCCGTGGCAGAATTAGTCGATTAATAAGCAATAATTTAATTATCATATCATGAGAACCATGCATGCTTCTTGTGAAAATTGTGAATATGTAACAAGCAATAATTATCTATTGATAGGTAAATGTGCACTCAAAATTGATATTTAAAAAGTGCATTATATAACTAGACATTGCACCATTATAGTTTTTTCACAATGCACTTTAAGTTTGAAATATAAAGGTCATCGTGTTTTTTTCTTTCTTTACAACCGCTGATCATCTCAAATTAACGGTCATAATTGGATCGTAGTTTTTACTTGGGTGGCAATTCTCATTTGATCCAACATCTTACACACACACACAACTCGCTCACATAGAACTTATTAAGAATCAATCACAATTGTCCATTTGGAACAATCTAATGAATTTGATGCAATATAAAAAGATATATTGTGACATTATGATAATTTTTTCCAACTTCGAAAGTGTAATTTTAACACTATAGAGTATAATTTTTAGCAATATAGAGTGCATTTCTAAACGAATTCTAAAACCTAAACAAAAACAAAAACAAAAAGAAGAAAAAAAATACAAAAAAAAAAAAAAAAAAAAAAAAAAAAGAACTAAATCCTAAACCAAAATTGTAAATACTAAAGCTTGAGTAATAAAAAGTGAACCCATAAACTAGAAGAAAACTAGGAACGGTAACATTATGATATTTAGAGTGTAATTTTTAACAATATAAAATGCATTTCTAGAAGAATTTTAAAACATAAACAGAAAACTAAATCCTAAACTTAAATAGTAAATACTAAAGTCTAAGCAATAAAAAGTAAAACCAACTCAAAAAGTGAAATACTAAAATATATCAATAAATTAAATTATAAACTCTAAAATGTGCTCCTAAGTACAATGCATTTTTAAATTGGCAAAAATGTACAGTATAAATTTGAAAAGTGCATCGTATAGTGTTAGAAAGTGCACTTTTATAGTTGGAGAAAACTATCAAAATACCATTGCTATTTTTTTTTTCTCTTATTTCTCTAGAATCATTAGGTCTAATTAGACGGTTCTTAATTTTTAGTTGACTCCTCCCTATAGGCACCAACACAAACTGCTCAGATTATGTATAAGGACACAAGATCAAACTTTAACCGTCAATGTCTCAAGCTAGTGTGTTGAGACCTAGAGAATTTTAGAGAGTTTTACTTTGGGCAAGGAAAACGAAGTATCCTAAAAATTCAAATAAGAAAAACTCATGCAGTAATTTCATTAGGAGTGCAATTCCGGCGTTAATAGGTGCGAGATTGTTGACTAAAGACTACGTCGATGATGGCTGGCAATTTTGATGGTTGAAATGGTCAACCTACTATTAAGTAATAATCACGTACTGCATATAACGTTGGTACCACAAGGTCCACACTGCTACTGCACATGTGTATGCATAGAATTTACTTTTTTGTGTGATATGAAAATGTATTTAAATAAATAAAAACATCATTTCAGGTAAATATTACGGAGTAACATCATACAACAATTTCTCTCAAAGATATCAACAACGTTATTTTTACTGGAATACAGTGCATGAAACTATATGTATGTAATTTTTATTAATTTTCTCCATGAAACTGTGTATGCAATTTATAGCCCATAACCATAGTACAATACAATACTAAAAAACTAATATAGGCTACAAGAATTTGTATAGATTGTGTACAAAGAATTTTGGGGCACCATCTTTCCAAATAGCCACTTTTAGTAATTATAAATAATGGCAAAAAGGAAAAATGAGAAAGCTACTATGAGAGCACAACATACCTCCCTACAAAACTGCATCTACTCTTTCTCCTCTGAAGTACACTGCATCAGCTACAGAAAGCAACAGGCAAGGATTTCGGGTGTTGTATACCGCATTTGCAAAATCTTGCTCATTAGAGCATGTTAAATTGAATGATTTCTATTGAGCGAGAAATATAATACAAGTAACTGTTTCCGATTTCAAGTTAGAAGTTCTTTAGAATCTTCTCGGCTGGGACGCCATTTGCTAAAAGAACAGAAGTGACCTCCTGCAAGAGGCAAATAGTTTTCATGACTTAAGTTTTTATTTCACGAGTTTAGAAACTATACCATTACAGAGGCAGCTCCTAAGAAATAAACTCCCTTCCCTGATCTCATTTTTTTCTTAATCCAACAATCTGTCACATAAAATGGCACACACGAAGTACACAAACAAACAATCAAGCAAGCATCCATGTTTAGCACTTACCAACAACCATGAAATTCCCGTTCCAAACCCTAAAGATATGTATGTGAAGGCCCCACAATGGGAAAGCGAACTTGAATCCTAATGCTTATTACCTACTAACTAGCATTAAGGAGACGCTACAACATTCTTACTCAATAGCTAACTGTTGTTAATTTATGTTCTCTACTCCTCTAATGAAGAAAACTTGATGTTCTTTTTTTTTTTTCTCCAAAAAAAAACATAAAAAAATTGAACACAGATCAAGAAAGACTCGAGTAAGACGAAACCTCAATATAAACAGGTATTGAGTTATAAATATTTAGGAAGATCATTTAGAGCTTTCAAGTTGAGATAAAACAACTACAAACCTCAGCCATTCGTCTTCGTCCACAAAGCACTGCACCAGTGGACCGAGGGCTAAAAGTTCTTTTGGCTTTGGAAAATGCAGCCTGCAAAAGTGACAGTATCAGAATGTTATGTTTCTTTAAATAAAAAGGAATAAACAAGTAGAAAACACATAACACAACCCAAATCACACAAGTCTATATCCCCGTCCAGATGAGCTTATTGGTATTATCTACTCCTACAGTCCTATAAGCAGTTATACTCATTTTTATTGCGTGTAGATAAGCTTATGAAAACAGCTTATGGCTTCTCATCAAAACCTGTTTTGAACTTATTTTGACAAACTATTTCAAGGAAATTGTCAAAATAATCAAGAAAACAGTTTTCCAAAACCAGTTGAAATGTCAAACGGTCAAACCCATATATGTTGCCTAGATCATATTTCATGGAGCTTATTGAAAAGTACTTAAAACTGTTTGTCCAAAATGAGCTTAAATTTGCTGAGTCATTGAGGTAGCATAACTTTCATTATAAGTTTATAAGACCAACTGGACAAAGAAAACAAGCTAAAAAGACAATGCAAGCATATATTCATACATGATAATTACCTGCACAAATCCAGAGTCTCCAGTCCAAGTATCATCAGGTTGAGACAATACTGGTACAATGTCAACTCCTGAAGCTTCCCAATTTTTAAATCTATCCTATTAAAGATGAAAGATACAAAACCTCAAAAAAATGGTACAAACTTTAGTGCAAACAAAAACAGAATTATCCAAATGGTAAGTAGCACCTAATACCTGATAGGCCATTCTCTCTAGATTTCGTGCACCATAATATAATCGCACATCAGATCTCTGGTCAGCACCAAACCCTGCCTCAATTAAAGATCGAATTGGGCTGCGTACAACAAGTAGGTAGAGAAGAGTAAATTACCAGGGAAGCTGGGAAGGTGGGTGGGGAGAGAGAGAGAGAGATTTGACACTTAGGGTTTAATCAATTTATCAAGTTTAGCAAAGATATAAAAATTCTCTATGCTATTTTTCTATGATGATTAGGGATAACGTTGGTTCTTTCTTTTTAGATTTTAGAAGCACAATACAAGGAGTGATAGCATTTTGCTTATTTTCTTTTATGATTCCTAGTAGGATTAGAATTAGTTTTACGGTCCAACTATCTATAAACTTATATTCTTTTTCAAGCTAGTTACTTTTTTCACTACTCTTTGCCTTCTTTGCCCTACTAGTGCCTTGGCAAATTTCTTCACCTCAAAATGATCACATGTTCCCTCTACTGCCTGCATCATGAACCTCTATGACCTATTTATCCTTCTATACAACTCAAAACATCTAGGAACTTCATCTTTTTTCCATGAGTAAAACCTTTTTCTCGCCACCCTATTCTCCTAACGGTTCTGCTCACCAACATTCAAACAGTTCCTTGCTAATTTTTTTCCCAGCTGTTACCATGAGAAGCATAAATATTGTTTAAAGAAGTAGAGAATTCAATAAAAGTGAAAGTTAATCAAGGTCCAGACTTTTTGTTATCAAGTCAGAATTTATGCAACTCAAGATAATACATAAGCCAGATAACTCCATTGACACTCCCAAAATCATCAAGATCTTTTATTTTTTGTTTTAGGAACATAAGTAATGAAGGAATTTTAACGATGGACTATTTTGTTGCGTATGCAAAATAAAAAGTACCAAATTTTGACAACAGACTAGTTTTCACAATTCTAATTGCAATAAACAACTATACATGTATCTACTCCAATTGAAGTCAACATCCGTTTGCAACTGAAGATGTGAATCGTTGTGAAATTCATCATCCTTCCAGCTCTTACAGAAACCACATAACTTTTCATATCTCAAGTATTTCTTGAACTTACATATGAATATGTTATTGGACTACATCATGAAATGCTCGTTCCATAGACAAGGAAATGGCAGATATAGATACAAATATAACTGCACTTATATGTATTGAGAGCATGACAATCCTATCTATTTAGCTAACTAACTAGGTATTTTTCTGGCCGACTGGCTTGGCATGCTG